TCATAATTTTTAATATTAATACATGCCTTTTTTAATGAAACCCAGCGCGGTAATTCAATGTATTGACCTGCTCTTGTTGGGTCATATTTATCATAATGAATAGTTATTTTATTAACTTTCTTTATGCTTAAACCTGACTTTTGCAACTGTTTATTTTCTAGAATAATTTGAATATCATTTCCAGCATTATTAACTGCTTTGTTTAAATCCTCTTCATTTAATATATTATATCTTCTACTCCTAATTGTTGTTAAATATTCTTCTGTTGTCTCATCTTCTTCTATAACCTGCCTTAAAACAAATTCAACATCAATAAGTAATTTCATACTTTTATGTTTGTTTAAAAACTCTTTTAATCTAGATTTTTGATAATATATGTGTCCTAAACCCTTAAATCCTTCTTTTTCAATATCTATTATAGAATAGGTATTAGCATATCGTTTTAAAGCACTAAAATTATCAGTTCTTTTTCCAAATGTTGATATAGCATATCGTTTTAAATTCTTTCTAACCATAACCCCTTTACTAGCCTTATCTAAAATCTCAAAACGTTTAAAATCTGGTGTTTTACTAATTTTATTTAATTGTTTTTTCAGTTTCCCTGTAAAAGGTTTTTCTTTGTCATATTTATATTGTTTTCCATCAATTACAATCTGTTTTAACTCTTTTCCTTTTTTAGTCTTTTTTATTTCACCTAATCGGCTACTTAATGTGTATCGCATTGCAGTTTTTAGGGCTCCCTGGTCTGCCATTAGGGTATAAGGTGGCTTCCCTTTAAGTGCTTTTGGTGTTGCACCCTCGCTCTGGTGTTGCGGGCTGGTTCTGGGGCTGGGCTGAGCATCAAGAGCATCAGGAGCATCAAGAGCATCATATAACCAAATTCCTAAACCATCCCCAAAAAATAAAATGTTGAAGGAAGGAACGCGAAAAAAGTGTTTTTGACACAAGGGGGTTAATTTACAAGACGAAAAGGAACAATCAAAAAGAAAAAGGGGTGCGTTCCTTACTTCTTAAAAATTCCTACCTAAACCAAGCCACAACAACCCTGAACACTAAACCACAACAACCCTGAAAAACCCTGAACGCCTAAACCCTAAACTACAACAAAAAAAGCCTAGAAAAGTTGCCGAACTAACTAAAACCCTAAACAAGAAAAAAAACTAAAAAGGGTTGCCGAACTAACTAAAAACTACACAAAAAAGTAAAAAACTTGCCAAACTACACTAACTAAAACCCTAAACTAAAACCCTAAACTAAAACCCTAAACTACACAAAAAAGTAAAAACTTGCCAAACTACACTAACTAAAACCCTAAACTAAAACCCTAAACTAAAACCCTAAACTAAAACCCTAAACTAAACTAAACCCTAAACTAAAACTAAACCAAAAAAAGCTTCCAATAATAGGAAGAGCCGACTGCGAAGTGCCATTATTGACACTTTGGGACTTCTGCGTCTCATTGATAGGAAGAGCCGGAAAAGCCCATTTGACCTGTCGCGTTGGGTTTATTTTATTTTCTATTATATTTTAGGGTTTTTATTATTTTTAGGGTTTTAGGGTTCATAAGGGGTTATAAAGTCCATCGGGTAAGACGGGGATTATTGATTATATTTTTCCGTGGGCTATCATATAAATTATTTTTGGGGTTTTGGGTGTATTTTGTATAGAATTTCCCTATATATTTATAGTGTCCCATATTTTTTCAAATACTATATGCTTTGATTTTTTATTTATGGGTTTTAGGGGTTTAGTGTTTAGAAAAGCGCACAAGAAGAGCAAAGCACGGCATCTTTCGCCTCACCCCGTCAGGCTTTCAGCATTATCAGGTTCATTGCTTGGCGTCATCAAGCACGGTTTTAGACTATCCCCTGATAGATGCCTTTTTTTTAAGGCATCTGAACAAGCCTTTACGGCTCACATCAAAAGCCACATAGTGGCTCATCCTGACCCAGACTGAATGGCTCATTTAATATAAAATAGACGAGTTTTCAGTTTCCTGAAACTGGAAACTGACAGCCCCTAAAACTGAAAACTGACAGCCCCTAAAACTGAAAACTGACAGCCCCTAAAACTGAAAACTGACAGGCGCTAAACCCTAAAACTATCAGTCTGGCGGAAGCTCTCGCAAAAAACTGCTTTACATCACAATACAGCCTTCCTCGCGGACTTCTTCAACGCTCTCACTATCACGAGATAAAGCACCTTTACGATGCCCTTCTCGGAATGACAACAAGTCCTTCAACTCGGAAACGAAGCCGTCGCAGTCAAAGACCAACTGACCCCCCTTCTGGTAGTTGAATTCGTGGGCGAATGCTTCGGTAAAAGTGCTTATTAAGTCCATCTTGGTTTGGTAGAGGTGAGGGATAATTTGGTCAATGGAAGCAATCTCGGGCACGACCAAGTACGCCATAGCAAGGATTTTATCTTCCGTTGCCACTCTTGATTTCTTGTCCTTGTCCTGCTCAAAGATTTTTTTAACCTTCAAAAGGTCTCCATCGCCCAGCCTTTCAAGCGCATTGAGAACAACACGACTTCCAGAAGAGGTTTCGTCCTTCACCTTCAGCTCGTCCTTAACTCGCTTGATTTTTTCACGGATGGGCTCTATGATTGGTTCAACTTGAGAAGGGGCAGAACCTGAAGCGGTGATTTCATCAAACTTCTTCTTGATGGTCTCCTTCGCTCGTTTTCCAAGGTTCTTTGCACCCTCGGACTTTGTTATGTAGGTTTTTATCGTCTTGCGAGACCCGAACATCGTGAAAGCACAAGCGCACTACAAAGGGAGCTGAACTACCTTCAAGCATAAATGCTAAGGATAAAAAGCTTGTCAAGAACAACAAGACTGACAAGCTCAAGCACTTGTCGGAAGACCCCAACAGTGCATTTTTCTCAACGCTCGTAACTTTCAAGATGCCACTGGTTTCTGTCACAAATGACAGTGCCTGTGTCTTCTTTGTTCCTACTCAGACGTCCCTTTCAGAACAAGAGCGGAGCTTTCACAAATCACTTTGAGGAAGAAGAGGCGACGGAGATGATGAGCGGTTTTGACTTGCGCTCTTTCTTTGGCGGTGTCTCGTTCGTGATGGTGATGATGCTGTCCTTCTTGATGCCCCACTTCTTGAACTGCATCTTTGGGTGTTCGTTCATCAGCTTCTTGTCAAAGAAGAAGGACTGAATTTTCATACTGCTCTCCTTGAAGACCTTGCTGTTGGTTGCCTTGAGGGTGTTGCGCAAATCCTTAAAGGTGAAGCTGTCCTTGACGCTGACCTTGTACTCCTTGTTGTTGTAGAAGACGACGATGGTGAAGAAGCCGTCCTCCGTGGTGTTGCTCCGCTTCAAATCATCAAGACGGTTCTTGACGGTCTCAATCTTCTTTGACATGTCAATGACCTTCATCTGCAACTCACCCAAAATGTCATTCAGGTCCTTCTCGTTGGTCTCCCCGTTGATTTGCTCAATGAAGTTGTCAAGGGTAAGGTCAATCAGCTCAATCTCGCTCTCGTCGCTGACTTCCTCATCGCTCTCTTCCTCTGTCAATGGTGTCTTGACAGGTTGCTCTGTCAATGGTGTCTTGACAGGTTCCTCTGTCAATGGTGTCTTGACAAGTTCCTCTGCCATTGCAAAAGAAGCGACAAAGCCAGGAGCACCAAAACGTAAGTATGCTGTAAGCACAGAAAATGCTACAAATTGAGATGTCAGCTTCAAGCCAACTTGCAGAAAATGCAACTGCCAAAAGCTCAGCGCACTTCAAGTGTGTCGGTTGTGCCTTCTTGAAGAAAATGATGTCGCCAACGAGAAATGTTGAAAACCTTTATTGAAGGACATCTAACCCTGAATTATTATAAATCTTTGGTAAAGTCTTTGAGGTGGGCTAGTCCCAGAAAACGGGTGAGGCGATATGACGAAGGATGAAAACGAATTAGGGGACGATGTTAAGAAATGAAAAAATGAGATTATGAAGTACTTAAATTTTTATTGTGATGAGAAACGGATTAGGCGACGATGTTGATGAGGGGGTGGAGGACGAAACGAAAGAGCGGGACAAAACAATGATAACGGATGAGGCGACTATAAGGGCAGGAATGGAGCAGGTGAGCATGTGAGAGAATGGATGAGGTGGCTATATAGGGTAGGGCAAGGTCTCAGAACCAGCCCTGATATAACCCTAGACCCAGCCCCCAGAACCAGCCTTTTACCAATTTTTTCCCCTAACCGTACACCCTATACCAAACCCTATAAACCTTCTAAATCCTATAAACCCCATAAACCCTCAACCCTACTAAACCCTCTATAAACCCTATAAACCCGAAAAAAATCGCACTCCAGGTTCCCATTTCTCGCTCGCACCGGTGCATCAGCTACCCAGAATTCTGGGACTGGCTATGGCTATGCGGTGTGCAGTTGAGCACTCTGGGGTTTAGGGTTTAGGGTTTAGGGTTTAGGGTTTGGGAGTTCAGGCTTAAAGGCTTCAGATCTCGGGTACGTTGAGGCCCGGGTGCGGAGGGCCATCCAGTTCTACTGCTATCTTCAGCCCCCCATGCCACTTAAAGCACCCTAACCGAGTCCTCTTAGAGTTCAAGCCTAATTTATGTTCACTACTTCTAAGACAAGGGAGCTTAAGCATCAGCCCTGTTTAGGAAGGGTTCTTGTGTATCTGATTCCTCCTTAGGGGCCGGGCAGACGTAGTACACGGTCTAGGGTTTTGGGACTTTGGCTTTCGAGTTGAGAATGCTTGGTAATGATGAAATGTTCTGCATCAGGGCAGGTCGGGATAGCAGTAGGGATCATTGACCACTTGAGGGTTTACATGGGGGTTAATCAGGGTTTAGGGCTTAGGGCTTAGGGCTAGGGTTTAGGGTTCAGGGTTCAGGGTTTAGGGTTTAGGGCTTGGGGTTTAGGGTTTAGGGTTTCGGGTTTAGGGTTCAGGGTTTAGGGTTTTGGGTTCCCAGGCCGCTCTGTGGATACGTGCCTTCGGCCATTTGGCGAAGACACGGTCGGTCCAGTCACGTCCGAGTGTACACGAAGGGCAAGTACCCTTCCTTAGTGGCAGGGTCTAGGGTTTAGGGTTTAGAGTTTAGGGTTTAGGGATAGGGTTTAGGGCTTAAACCCTTATAAACCCTGAGCCCGACAAGCCCCAACACACCCAAAGATCCGCCAGCCCCCGATATATAAACCCTAAACCCCACCCCCCTGGACTCCTTTCTGCAAGCCTGATGCCTCTTTAAATGCAGAAAAACCCGAGCCAAACGGCAAAGACAATGAGGAGGGTGTCGGGGGATGAAGAAAAATCGTAAGGATGGCTATCCGCGGCTATCCCACTTGGCAACAAGAGCAAGAAATACAGCCACCAGCCTAAAGCCTAAACTCCAAACTCTGAACCCTAAACCCCTCAATTCTGTTGAGAGCACCTCGCGCCACTCCATCTGGAGCGAAGAAGTACCACGCCTGGTGACATTTTGGGCACGACTTCGAGGGTTTAGGGTTTAGGGTTTGTCTAGGGTCTAGGGTTTAGGGTTTAGGGTGGAAATATGGCTTTCGGAATTTGTTGGGTTTTTCACGGTGTAGGGTCAGGGTTTAGGGGTTCGGCAGGCTCATGATGAACAGTCTTTGATGGCACGAAAACCGTGACAGGCATCAGCACAGCACAAACCCTATGCCTTCTTGAACTCAACACCCCGAAGAACCCGGGTACCGGACCTGACTGAGAGGGCTGGCAGCGCGCCGGCCTTCAAACAAGGCAGGCTTTTACGGATGTCCTTCCCGGGTCTGAGGTTTCGGGTTTAGGGTGTTTGGGGGACACTACGAACATGTTCGAAGCAATAAGTCCTGCGTGCAACGTGCGCAACATGCGCAGCAGATCCACATGCAAAGTTGCAAAGTTCAGATTCTGACTGCTACGTTACGTGCAACTCCCGGGTTGGCAATTCACATTGATTCTACCCTAAACCCTAAACCCTAAACCCTAAACCCTAAACCCTAAACCCTAAACCCTAAACCCTAAACCCTAAACCCAAAAAATGCCGACTCTGCAGGCCGTCGTCTGTGTGACTAAACTGACAGGCCAACCCTAAACACCCCCAACTCCCTCCACACGCAACAAAAACCCTAAGGGTCCATGTATCTATATAGTATATACTTGGGCCTTAAAGGGGTTCCCATATATTAGCTTTAGGGCCCAAGTATGTACTATTATCGGTATATGGACCCTTAGGGAAAATTCTACTCTCTGTTCCGTGGCGCCTCTAAGTAACATATACGCAAACGAAAGCCAAAGCCAAAGGGGAGTTGCTCTAAGGTAGGGCCCTCTTCAGCTACCCCTTAGAAAATCATGCAAAAAGAGCGTACCAATAGGAATCATTCTGATAGGACTGAACCTTTTCAGTATATCCCTTGCAAATATAGAACAGACTGCAAAACGCATGGATTTCTTATAAGAAAGACTAGACCCAGGAGTAACCTAGGAACAAAAAGGGTGCCCTTTTTGGTTTCAAGGGCTAAGGGAACCCCAACCAAAAAAAAAGGAAACAAGGGCCTACTCCAGGTCCTAGAAGACTCCCCACGCCAAACCCCAAAAGCACCCAACGCCTCGATCTTCAATTCTGCAAGGGTCACCAGAGTGGCGCCTTTCAAAGGGGGCTTCAGGGTTTTGGGGGGTTCAGGGTTTTGAGGGGTTTAGGGGTTTAGGGGTTTAGGGGCTTCAGGGATTTAGGGGTTTAGGGGCTTAGGGGCTTCAGGGATTTGGGTTTCGGGATTAAGCAGTTGAGGGTCTAAGGGTTTTAAGGGTTCGAGGGCTTCGGGGTCTACTTGCCATTTCGGAGGCTGCACTTCGAAGTCGCTGCAAACCCCAAACCCCAAGCCCAAAACCCCAAACCCCAAACCCCAAACCCTAAACCCTAAACCCTAAACCCTAAACCCTAAACCCTAAACCCTAAACCCTAAACCCCCGTACCTGGCACCCTAAGCCCTGACCCCGCGACCTTGGGTGAAATAACCTGGAGTCACAATTGCAGGTCAACGCCTCGCGGCGCACGTTGCGTGAAGGCCTGCCATTGGCAGGAACCCCTGTTGGGGCTTAGGGTTTGGGGCTTAGGGTTGAGGGTTTAGGGTTCAGGGGGTTTTAGGGTTCAGGGGGTGTAGTTAAGGGTGCAGTTTAGGTGTAGCTTTGAGCAAAGCAGGGAATGGCGAGCTTTTGCCCGTGTCAAAGTTTCCGGTGCTTCCAAGTCCCAAAACATCGGTATCGAGGAGTTGATCCCTCCGGCGAGCGGAAGATGAATTCTGGAGCGTGTCGTGCCTGAAGGTTTGGGGCCATCTAAATCATGTCTAAACCCAAAAACATCTGAAAACCCTCGCGCCCTAAATAATTTGACTTACTATTTCTCGAATAGGGAACTAACGATCCATTACCTCACTACTCCCTACAGTATAGACCCCGTCAAGTAAGTATCACAAACAGTGAACCTAATTCCCTAACTCCAATTACTCGGGACCCGAAGCCGTAAATTGTTTTTGCAAGCGCTAGTGAGCCGAAGAACCCTAAACCCCAAAGCCTAATTACACCCTAAACGCTAAACCCTAAACCCCTAAGAACACACAATTTAAAATAACACAAAAAAGTCACAAAAGACCCTAGACCCTACAAACCCTGAAGCCCGAAATTCACGGCTCACAACAGCGCGGGGGCACCTGAAGAACGGCCTTTGACTCAGAGGAGGAGAAGCAAAGGTTGTTCCAGTAGACCTTAGGCGGTTTTCGGCGTTCAGGGTTGGGGGGGGGGGCTTAGGGTTGGGATGTATTGGGGTTTAGAGTTTGTGGATTGGGGTTTGGGGTCTAGGGGTTGGGGTTTAAGGGTTGGGGTGTTGGGTTTGGGATCTAGGGCTTGGGGTGCACCCCCCCCCGTTAGAGACAGCCCTCAAAATGCGGCAGAAGTAGGCGCCCGGGCCAACATCACACCAGAGAGTAGCTGGAGGTGTTCCAGGATGTTGCCATGGACCAGGTCCTGATTCCCCTACTTTTGGGGAGGAAGGCCAGCTTCGGGTTTAGGGTTTTCGTTTTAGGGTTGCCTCGTCAAATCACTGAACCCCAACACCCCTGAAAACCTGAGCAATCTCAGCAAACTCAACAAGACCATTCAAACCCACAACCCTAAACCCTACACCCTAAACCCTGAGAGCCCCCAACCCTCTCAAAATCCCTAAAGCAGGCACCCACTCCTAAAAACTCTGAATCCAAAAGCCAAACAGGGTTTAGGGCCGGTTTAGGGTTTAGGGTTTAGGGTTTATAGGGTTTAGGGGACCCTAAAGACGACAACTCCCAGAGCTCAGCTCCCTGTCACTGGGGGGCGCGGCGACTTTGCCGCGGCGCTGGGAAGCTTCCGACACCTTGGGTTCAGGGTTTAGGGTTTAGGCTGTAGGGTGTAGGGTTTAGGGGCATTCAGAGGGGGGACTTGGAGGAGGGCGGGTTGCGGAAGATGTGGGGGAGTTTTCATGATTGCATGGTCCAACGCAAGGCCCTTCCCTCCACCAAGTTATCCAACTGCCTCAATCAACTTGTACTGCAAGACCCTGTCTAGTCATGAAGCCAAGCAACTCACAGTAAAAGCCCTTATGACAGACTAAAGCCGGCAATGCGAGTGGGTTTAGGGTCTAGGTAGGGTTTATGTAGGGGTTTAGGGTTTAAATTTTAGAGTTGCATAATCCTATAAGAGTTAGGGTTTAGGGATTTAGGTCTTTGGAGTTCTAGGATGTACAAGGGGCTTAGGGTTTAGGGTTTAGGGTTTAGGGTTTAGGGTTTAGGGTTTAGGGTTGTATCGATTCGGGGGTTTCCTCGGGGCCCAGCTTTGGCGAGAGCTTGCTGATGGCGCTCCAGCATGACCTTTCAAGATGGGACCCCGAAGCCGGAAATGTCGGGAAGACCTTTTGGGTTTGTAGGGTTTAGGGTTCAGGGTTAAGGGTTGAGGGCTTGGGGGCTTGCGAAGCCCTTAGCACTGAAGACTCTAGACTCTCGAGCAACCCCGACCTTTCTCAAACTGTTTAGGGCCTCAACCCGAAACGCCGCTGTCCTTGGGTCGCCTCTGACCTTCGCCAGTTCCAGAAGCAAGAGGAATGTGGGCATTTCCCAAAATAGGGGTACCCCTTTTATACCCCAAGCAGAATAGAATCCCCTTAACCAGGGACCCCCAAGAGGGTACTCCCTACTTTCCGAAACCCCCATGTGGCTCCGACGTGGTAGGACACCGATGCAGAGACTCAGACGATGCGGCAGAGCTGGCGCGTGTGGGGCAGCAGCGGACCGGGCCAAGTCACGACGTCTTTTTGTCAGCAAAGAGGCGTACAGCACATATGGGCTTCCGACAATAAGGGGTACCCTCTTGGGACCCCTATAAGAATTATGATACCTCTTCGCCCTCAGACCCGTTTTGGCCAGATGCTAAAGCAGCTTGGTTCAAATCGGGCGCCGGAGTCAAATCACTGCAAGCAGAGGTAAAGGATTATACCAATCTTGGGGTGTGTTCAGGATACCCGCTATTTGGGCAAATACCCATATACCATTCACTTGTAGTTGATAGCTGACCACATACTTGCACGGCGTTCGGGGCTGACCAACCTTTCAAACCCAAACCCTATGCCAAAACCAAACCCGAAACCCCACATCCTGAAATCTGATTCCCCCCCCCATCAACCCCCCCTCCCCCACCCCCATCACCCCCCCCCCCCCCCCCCCCCCCCCCCCCCCCCCCCCGGCCTCAACTCCTCGGCTGTAGTTGTAGCCGCCGCCCTGTTTTGGGTCTTCAGAAGGAGCTTTCCTCTTGTTTTGGAGGCGGGGAGGGGTGGGTTGTGGGCTTTATTTAGGGTTTAGGGTTCTTGTAGGGTTTGGGGTGTGGCTTTACAGGGTTTCGGGTTCAGAGTTTAGTGTGGCAAAAACAAAAACATGTGGGTGTAACATGGACGGTGGTTCGGGGTTTCGGGGCTTCGGGGCTTGGGGTTTAGGGCTAAGGTTGAGGGTATAGGGTTTGGAGTTTAGGGGTTGGGGTTTAGGGTTTAGGGTTTCGGGTTAATTAGGGTTAGGGTTTTTAGGGTTTAGAACCCAGTCTGCGTGTTCGGTTCCCACGAAAAGTCTCAGGGCTCCTCGGGCGGCTTCGACGCGGCCCAGAGGACGAAGGCACCGTTGCCGGAGCCTCATTGGACGGAAGCTAAACCCTAAACCCTAATAACCCCAATAACCCCAATAACCCTAATAACCCTAATTGATAACCCTAATAACCCTAATAACCCGAATAACCCTAATAACCCTAATAACCCTAATAACCCTGAACCCTAAACCCTCTGCACAAAAAATCTTCAAACAACATCTTCTTGCGCGCAACAAAGGGAAGTCGTAGCTATCCCGAAACCCTACGACCTATCAGGTTCTAGACCCAAGAGTAACAACATAAAGGGCGCCCTGTTGCGGTTTCAAAGGGTTATCATAAGGGAACCTAAACCCTAAAAAGCGGAATTAGGGCCTGCTCCGGGGGGTTTGGGGACTTAGGTGCTGTTTTGGGATTTTCGGGGCGGGTTTCTAGCATTCTTGAGGGTGCCCAGCCGGTAAAAACCAGTATCTCACACCCTCTAACCCTAAAAACCCGAGACCCTAAACCCCAAACCCCAAACCCTAAACCCTAAACCCTAGACCAGCTGGGATTCATAAGCCAGAAGGATGGGACGATTGTTCTTCTACTCCGGCTTCCTTTTGGGGTGGCGAGGGCCTCTTGTGGGCGCTCGGGAGCCTTTTGCGGGGACTACAAGAGCTTGCAGGTTTCGGGTTATTAGGGCTTTCCCGGTGACTACAAATCTTTGCAAGGATTTTAGGGTTGAGGGTTTAGGGTTCGTAAGCCTAAACCCTAAACCTTAAACCCGAGAATGCTTAGTTTTGGGTTGATAGGGTTGAGAAGATGTTTATAATTAACAGGCCTTGCGGGGTTTAAACAGGCTTAGGGTTTAGGGATAGGTTCCTGGTCCGAAGCCCCTGGCCAATGTCAAGGAAGACGCCGCCTACGGCTGCGAGCTGGGGGATGGGGGTTTGGGGTTTGGGGTTTGGGGTTTAGGGTTTAGGGTTTTGAGAATTTAGGCTTGGCGGGCGCAGTCTCCAGATGCTGTGGGCTTCCGGGTTCTGGGGTTGGGTTGTATGCTTCAAGAAAAAGTATCCGGTCTCCCTTCGAGGGCCACTCCTGCGTGCGATCCATGGCAGATCTTGAAATCTTGTAGAGTGCAGTGGTGTGTGGGGGCAGTTGCCTCTGAATCTGCCGAAATTATATCAATTTCAAAACCCAAATTAAGCAAATGACGTCGCGCTAAATATGAAACGCGAAATTAGTGACGTCGCGCTTAATTTCAAAATTGAAATTAAGGAAGTCGCGCTTAATTTCGTTTCCGAAATTAAGCTCCAGGGTTTACACATAGCCCAGCCACCCAAACTCAAGGGCCTGACGGAACCTAAAACTCTCAGCCCTGCCCTAAACTCACTCAAACCCTGCAACAACCTATTAAAAGGAGCCTACCTGGGCCACCCTGAAACAACCCTACAACGACCTTGAAACAACCCGACAACGAGCCTGTCTGCAGCCCAAAACACAATGTCAAGCCGATTTGGGCCCTGTACCCCAAACCTTGCCCCAAACCCTGAAAAAAAAAACCTATCTGGGCCAGATAGGGTTTTTTTGAGTCTATCTGGCCAAATAGGGCCGAAGCAAAGCCAAACCCCATATTTCAGGGCGACCTGTGCTAACCCAAACTCCAGAACGCGAAACCAAATTCCAAGCCCCAAACCGAGAGGGGGGGCAGGGGAAGGGACTCGGCCAATTTTTTGCTCAAAAAACCCTATCTGGGCCAGATAGGGTTTTTTTGCTCTGAAAAACCCTATCTGGGCCAAATAGGGTTTTTGAAGCCAATTCCAAGCCCCAAACCCAACCATAAGGGCTGGGGGGTGCGGGGAGGGGAGAGGGGGGGGCAGGGAAGGGGACGGGCCAGTTTTTGCTCAAAAAAACCCTATCTGGGCCAGATAGGTTTTTTTTGCTCCCAAAAACTCTATCTGGGCCAGATAGGGTTTTGGATGCCAATTCCAAGCCCCAATCCCAACCAGGAGGGGTGGGGTGGTGCGGGGGAGGGGAGAGGGGAAGGGACGGGCCAGTTTTTGCTCCAAAAAACCCTATCTGGGCCAGATAGGGTTTTTTGTCAAATAAACCCTATCTGGGCCAGATAGGGTTTTTTTGCTCTGAAAAACCCTATCTGGGCCAGATAGGGTTTTTGAAGCCAATTCCAAGCCCCGAACCCAACCAGAAGGGCTGCAGGGTGCGGGGGAGGGGAGAGGGGGGGGGCAAGGAAGGGGACGGGCCAGTTTTAGCTTAAAAAAACCCTATCTGGGCCAGATAGGGTTTTTTTCTGCCCAAAAAAAACCTATCTGGGCCACATAGGGTTTTTTTGCTCTGAAAAAGATAGGGTTTTTGAAGCCAATTCCAAGCCCCAAACCCAACCAGAAGGGGTCGGGGGGTTGTGCGGGGAGAGGGGGGGGCAGGAAGGGGACGGGCCAGTTTTTGCTCCGAAAAACCTTATCTGGGCCAGATAGGGTTTTTGAAGCCAATTCCAAGCACCAAACCCAACCAGGAGGGGTGGGGGGGTGCGGGGAAGGGGAGAGGGGGGGCAGGGAAGGGGACGGGCCAGTTTTTGCTCAAAAAACCCTATCTGGGCCAGATAGGGTTTTTTTGCTCAAAAAACCCTATCTGGGCCAGATAGGGTTTTTTTTGCTCCCAAAAACCCTATCTGGGCCAGATAGGGTTTTTGAAGCCAATTCCAAGCCCCAAAACCAACCAGGAGGGGCCTCAGGTTCTACAGCTTGTTGGTGCCAAACCAGGTCCTTAATTTGGCTTAATTTCGGATTTCTGACGTCACTAATTTGGCGCTAATTTCAAAATGACGTCGCTGACGTCACTATAATTTGTACAGTCTGAATTCTGGGCCATTCATTCCGGGCTTCCTATTCTTCTGCAGGTTCGGGCCTAGTGCCATTTTCTGGTGCGCCTAAAACAGCCCTCTCAAGCCCCAAAGCTCCAAAGCCCTTTCAAGTTTCAAGCCCTAACAGTTCACACCTAAGCCCTAGGCCCTAAGCCCTAAACCCTATAAGCCCTAATTATACGCCCTAAACCCTAAACCCTGTTAGCCCTAAACCCTTGAGGCTTTTCAGGTTTACCCTGGCGCGCCTGGTTTTGCCGCCAGTTGGGCTACGGAGAGCATACCGCTCCTCAGGTGCGAGCACCAGAGGGCTCAGAGCTTTGTCTTAGGGTAAAGGGTCTTAGGGCCTTAGGGTCTTGGGGTCTTAGGGTCTGAAAGTCTTGGGGTTTAGAACTTGGGGCTTCTGAGGCATTGGGGTCTGCAGGATTTAGGCTTTAGGCCTGGGTCCGGATTGGGGCTGTTGGCTGGGCCAGCAATTTACGCTACAGACACCCTGAAGCCTATAAATCCCATAAAACCCCATAAAACCCCATAGACCTTAAACCCTAAACATCCCTAAACCCTAAGCCTGCTGACCCCATGCTAAGACTCACAAGTCCTGTTCTCATCAGCGGCTTGGACTTAGGATTCTCCATCCCCTTCTCTACGTATTGCGGCGCATCGCACGACCGACCCAAGAGCAACAATGACGTGAGTACTCGAGTGCCTCTGTATTGGGAAATTTTATTAGGATCAAGAGTTTGGGCTAAGACCCCTGTATTAGGCATGTACACATAGACAAACACTGTCACTAGTGTTTATATAGTCCTTCAAAGAAGCCAAGATGCTTGGTGATCTCTCCGTACGTCCTGATGGGATCGCAGCTGTCAACGCCTGCACGTGTAGGCTTTCAGGTTCCAGGGCTTAAGAAGAGACTCAACCCTTAACCCATATGAACCCTGTGAACCCACTAAACATCGTCTCATCCGAACACATCTGTGGTGTGACCTTCTCCAGGCTTTCCTTTTTTGCATGTCAAGGCGCTAGCAGCAGCTTGGGGCTTAGGGCGTAGAGGGGTTTCTCTGAAGGTGCGAGACACCGTCGCTCTTCAGGCATATAGGCGATTACAAGGGGTACCTAGTTCCCCCAATTCCCTATAACTAGCAAGTGACCCGAATACCCTAAACTCAAGTAAAGGTCTAACCCTGTGGCTGCCCCAGCCTACAAAGATTCGCTACAAAGATTTCATCAGCTGTTGCAGTTTCCCTGGCTCATGCATAAACACCAGTAATCGCTAACTACACCCTTCCTTCTGTTCCAAACCCCAAAAAACCCTAAATCCCAACGTACGCGTAAAAACCCGGAACTTTACCCTTGGAGCATTTAATTTCTGCAGCCCTAAACCCCCACTACTCGAAAGCCTTGCGGTCCCTAAACAAGCCCTACAGATCCTAGTTACCCTCAGCCCCTGAACACTAAGCCCGCTTAACCCCATCATATCGGCGCCAAAATAATTAGAAAAGGGTTTTGGGGGTTACTATTATAGTACAACTTCAAAGGGACCACCAGGGAACATTACTACTACTTCTTCCGACCTACCCTCCACCTCATTCCCTAAACCCTAGACCCTATAAACCTAAGACCCTAAACCCTAATCCCTAATCCCTAAACCCTAAACCCTAGACCCTAAACCCTAAACCCTAAAGCCTAAAGCCTAAACCCCCCCGCCCCCCCCCCGGCTTCCATTCTCGACCCGCATGGCCGGCAGCTTCCGGAAGGTGAGAAAAATCGCCTGCGAGTGTGGCTTAGAAGGGGGGGGGGGGGGGAGGAGTTTATTTAGGGTTTAGGGTTTAGGGTTTAGGGTTTAGGGTTTAGGGTTTAGGGTTTAGGGTTTAGGGTTTAGGGTTTAGGGTTTAGGGTTTAGGGTTTAGGGTTTAGGGCTTGGCAGGTCTTCATCGGTGCTGGGGCTGCAGGGAATCGGGCTCGGGGCAGTCGAGTCGAGGGCTCTGATAGGGAGGGGGGGGGGAATCGGGTAGGATTCACGCTGCCAAGTCCGTCTCGGACAAGGTTGGCCCTCTAATGACCAGCGAAACAAGAGTCCGAAATAAGATCCGCTTAAACCCAACAGCAATGGAAATTCAAGAAATATCCTCAAGGCCTGCCTAGGGGAGCACAAGCGCTATTCCTAGAAACTTCGACAACTCGCAGCTTGCTCACACCCTAAACCCCTTAAACCCTTACACCCTTAACCCGCACACACCGAACCTTAAACCCCGAACCCTAAACCCTACAAACCCTAAAGCCTTACATCAAAAAAGCCCGTGGCGCGCCACCAGGGGCACGGCAAAGGCCAATGTCGAACGCAGCCTCAGCAATGATGATAGGTTTGAGGGTTGAGCGCTTAGGGTTTGGGGTTTCGGGGTGATTGAGCATCCGGTTATGCCTGGGGTATAGGGGTTTAGGCTTTAGGGGTGATTGAGCATCCGATTTTGCTAAGGAAGAGGTGGACCTCTTATTCCAACTCAAGTTCAGTTTGGGAGTTGGGCGTTTTGGGCTTCGGGTCTTGAGCAGGCTTCGGGTCAAGGAGCTGTGAAGGGTTTAGGGTTTAGGGTTTAGGGCTTAGGGCTTAGGGCTTAGGGTTTAGGGTTTAGGGTTTTAACCTTCGCACCTAAATCCGAGGAATTAGAAACTGAGGTCGGGGTTTTCAAGCCTTTCGTGGGCCCAAGCTCCCACAGCTCCAGATCGTAAACCCTAAACCCTAAACCCTAAACCCGAAACCCTAAACCCTAAACCCCCAAACCCTGAAACCTTTTAGCCCAAAACCCAGGTGATTATGCTCTTTTTGAGAGACACTTCCTGATAAGTAGAACCAGGACAATTCGCATTATTAAGTATGCAAGTACGTGTCAGCGCAATGTTTCAACTTGCAGAGGCCTTTGAGCGGAAAATCGGGTTTAAGGGCAGGGTCCGGGGATCAAGGCTCAGGGGTTCAGGGTTTAGGAACTCTTCATAGCCCTGCACCTTGTAATCTCTGCACTCTAATCCCCAAACCCCAAACCCTAACCCTAAACCCCAAACCCTAAACTCTAAACCCCAAACCCTGAACCCTGAAGTTTTGGGACGTTCATGCAAGGGGCGCAGGTGGAATGGACGGCATGGCATCGAAAAGATCCCGGAGGAGCTCCCTCGAGGCGGAGGTTGGCGGGTTTAGGGTTTAGGGTTTAGGGTTAGGGTTTAGGGTTAGGGTTTAGGGTTTCGGGTTTAGGTCTTAGGGTTTGCAGGATTGAGGTTGGGGCATAAGCCCTAAATCCGAAACATGGTTTAATATGCCCCTAAGGTTCAAAGGCTTAGCGCCTGTGGGTTACAGGCCAGGATGTACTCAAGCGTGTATCATATCAGAGTTACCCAATTTCGTTCTCAGAAATCCCCTCTCCCAAGGTAACAACCAGCCCCAAAAAATGGAACGGGAGTATTTTTGGCGTTGGAAGGGGGGGTTTGGGGGTGAGGAGGACTGCAATATGTGAATTGGACTACAATGTTCCCTCTAAGTTGTGTTCAACCTAACCGTGCGGGGGCAGTCTATCCTTGGCGCCCGAGTCGTTCCTATATACTCCTGAACCCTGAACACTACTTCCGGACTTCTTTGGAAAACCCACAAGGGGCAAGAGCTGCAAGAACCCTTGCGCCTGAGCTCCCCGACGAATCCCTCCTCCTGCTTGCGCACGACTGGTCTCTTGGCTCCTGGTCTTGCAGAGTCGGGTTTTGGGATAGGGCTTAGGTAGATTCGCCGTGTGGTTGCTTAGTTAAACAGCTCTTTACTGTACCCGAGCAAAGGACGAACTTGGTGAGCAGTGGGGTTTAGGGGGCTGGGTGTTCAGCGTTGGAGTTCCCGAGGGTTTCTGACTGGGGTTCAGGGTCTAAACCCTAATCCCCAAGCAGTACGCAGACACCCTAAGCGGAAAAGTCCTAAATGTGCAGCCCCTAACATGTTTTCCACCTCAAACGCATACACCATCATACACCCTAAACGCATAAACTCCAACTCCACAACGCTGTAAGGCAAGGAGTCGTGAAGACTTGGGGACAAGCGTATCTGCAATTTGCTTAAGAACCCCCCGCCCCCCCAAACTGCAAAAAAAAATCAATCCCTACATTGCCCCTTATTTTTGGGGTACAATCCCTACATTGCCCCTATAAGGAAGAATACCTTCCTTTCTTTTTTTTGGGTGGGGCCATTCGTAGGTATCTGCAATTGGCATCCTCGAGTTGCGGCCATGTCGGCGGAACGAGCGTTGGGAGAAAGAGCTCTAAGTGCCCAGGGCAAGGTTGGGGCTTTTAGGGCTGCCAGGGTGCAGGGTCTTTCGGGGCTTTTTAGGGTTGTTAGGGTTTAAGGTCTATGCAAAGATGTCTAGGGTTTAGGGTGGGAGGTGGATAAATGGGTCGACCTAAACCCTAAACCCTAAACCTCTCTTACCTATATATATTTAAACCCTATAGTCAGCAAATCGACCGGCCCTGTTACTCACTGGCCCTGGGGCCATCCTTCCAGATCGACCGGCCCTGTTGGGCACTCAAGGGTCTGGCCTTGTCCTGGCCCACGCGCGCGCGGCCTTGGCCTTGGCCCTTCCAGATCGACCGTCCCTGTTGGGCACTCGCGGGTCTGGCCTTGTCCTGGCCCACGCGCGCGCGGCCTTGGCCTTGGCCCTTCCAGATCGACCGTCCCTGTTGGGCACTCGCGGGTCTGGCCTTGTCCTGGCCCACGCGCGCGCGGCCTTGGCCTTGGCCCTTCCAGATCGACCGTCCCTGTTGGGCACTCGCGGGTCTGGCCTTGTCCTGGCCCGCGCGCGCGCGGCCTTGGCCTTGGCCTTGGCCCTTCCAAATCGACCGGCCCTGTTGGGCACTCAAGGGTCTGGCCTTGTCCTGGCCCGCGCGCGCACAGCCTTGACCTTGCCCTTGGCCCTTTCAGATCGACCGGCCCTGTTGGGCACTCAAGGGTCCGGCCTTGTCCTGGCCGAGCGTGCGCGGCCTTGGCCTTGGCCTTGGCTGTTGGGCACTCGCGGGTCTGGCCTTGTCCTCGCCCGTGCGTGTGCGGCCTTGGCCTTGGTTTTGGCCCTTCCAGATCGACGTCCCCACCCTCCCCCCCCCCTCCCCCTCCTTTCCAGGCCGATGAAATGGTTCGTGGGTAGGATGGTCCATGACGAGTGAGGTTGGAGGACAGGGCTTGCTGATGAAAAATATAAACTTTTTATTTCTTAATGTTTTGGGATTCTCTGGGCGGGTGGGTTTTTTTCGAGAGCCCAAACAGCGGCTCTACTAGAGATTGCTCGACCCGGAGCTGCTGAACCCTAAACCCTAAACCCTAAACCCTGAGGTTCAACACCGTAGAAACTCTGAGAGATGCAGTGAAATCAATACACGGACAGGGGACGGCCAACCCCAAACCGGCTCCAGGTCACCTATGAGGAGCCGAGTGTTTTTTTTTTTTTTTTTTTTGGGGGGGGGGGGGGGGGGGGGGGTAGGGCTTAGCATGTGGGGGTCGAAAGTTAAGAGCCCAGGTTTTGGAGCTTGCAAGAGGCTTGCATGGGTTTGACGGATTGAGGTGGTGTGATTGTAGCTTGAGCCAGCGCTGCCAGTCGTCTGCCCTGAATCCCGCCCGAAACCCCTAACGCTTCAACCCTACCTGAAGGCTCCAATCTAGTTCCTTTTTGGGCTAGCTATGGGGGATTCTAGTATACGACCCCAAAAAACCCTCGAGCCCAAAGCACGGCGGGAAGCAAACCTGGTGGGGCGCTTTCTGTGTTCAAAGACAAGAAGTTGAACGGGCGGGGAGGGGGTTCACAACACTAGGGTGTATAAGGTTCTTGCGGGGTGGGTGGGTGGGGAGCATTTGGGGCCTTAGGCTTTAGGATTTGCGCTCCCTCTGCAAATCTCCTTCTTTGTGGTTCTTCCTAACGAGACATAGAACCCTCACCCCAGCCTGGCAGTAGCAGTAGTAGCAGTAGTAGCAGTAGTAGTAGCAGCAGTCGTAGTAGCAGTAGTAGCAGTAGTAGTAGGAGCGGTAGTCGTGGTAGTGGTAGCAGGAGCGTCTTCGGTTGTAAGCAAGGGGTTTCACATTTGTACTCTGTGTACACGCATTTCTGTACATATATATATATATACATCTTATATATAGATATACAATTGCCAAATTGCGCAATCCCGATACAGAGATTTTCGTAGCGATTTCACTTAGCAAGCTGCAATATCGTCCAGTCCGCGCTGTTCTTGCTAAGCTTTCTTTTTTACATCATGTTTCATCCACCATTCCCTCTACTTACCCATGCTTCTCGCCCGATGGCGCCACCGTTCCATCAGCAGCCACATCCACGAGACAGGCTTTGCGGTTGGGCTTGGTAGCTCCTGGGTGGACTTTCTGCATGTGTTCCAGGAGGATGCCCCACTTGGAGCTAGCACACGGAAAGATCTCAGCGCATTCTGGGCACTGGAATGACTGTCCGAAGGCTTGCATCCGCTTTCTCTTGTTGGACCCAGTGTTTGAACCATTCTGGCTTCCAGCAGATCTGCACAGCTCGGAATACTTTTGCTCCAGCTCCGTGTCGTGCGATCCTTGAAGAACCTCTCCCATCACTTTCCGCACGAACTCGGGATTTGAAGATTTATTTCTCAGAGTCACTGCAAGGTCTCTCGGAGCTCCCCAGGCCTCACTCACCCACGACGTCAGGAAGGTGCGACACAGACTTGCACTGCTTGAAGCGGACTTGTAGCTCCAGGCCAGCCCTTCAGGGTGATAAGCAGGTAAACCCGGCAGTTCAAGCAAAGCGTCATGGAGGTCTTTTGAACGTGCATCTCCAACACGTAGCTGCGCAAGAAGCCATTCCGCGGCAGCACCCTGGGCTTCTCTCTGCTCCTTCTTCTTCCCCATCTCGGAGCCGCGTTTATGGTCGACTGCTCAGCACAGGCTTGTTACAGGAAACTCAGTAAGGTGCTGCTTCATACACATATCCTGGAATCCTGGACTCTGAGACTCCCTTGACACATGAAATGCTGGGACATGCTTTACCCCTCATGCCTGTCTCCTACAAGTTCAATGCTGCTTGAGGGCCATGTCTCGGAGGTACTACTGCTGTTGCTGCTACTACTACTACTACTACTACTACTACTACTACTACTACTACTACTACTACTGCTACAACTACTGCTACTGCTACTGCTACTGAAGAGTTTACTAGGGGGGCCCCGCAATATGCAGTGAAGGTTTAGGCTTCATGTTTAGGGTTGACGGGAAACAGGGTTTTGAAGGTTAGAGCCTGGAGGGTAGGGTGTGTCTGCGTTTCAGGGTAGGGTGTGTCTACGTTTCAGGGCTCTACACGTAGGTAGGGTAGGTTGCGGGGCTACAGGCTGCTGGGGCGGCTCAGGCACCGATGGCAAGGATTCTTAGCTGTGGGTTTAGGGTGGGTGAGAGGGTTTCGGGGTCTTACAGCTACAAGGCTGGTGGGATTGTACCCCAAACTCTAAACCGTCAAGGTCCGGTTTCACGAGCAGCGGCAAATGACCAGGGTCCCCGCAAGTCCAACAGAGTTTGTCCGTCCAGGAACACTTCGGCAAGCACCTATAGGTTGCTCAGAAAATCTGGGTTTGACATGGTCGCATTCTCACCGTCACTCTCCCCCTTACCGGGCCTCTCACCTTCTCACTCTCTCTCCTCTCACCACTCACCCCCTCACCCCCTCTCTCCTCCTCTCACCTCCTCTCACCTGCTCTAACCTCCTCTCACCTGCTCTCACCTCCTCTCACCTGCTCTCGCCTCCTCTCTCCTCCTCTCTCCTCCTCTCTCCTCCTCTCTCCTCCTCTCTCCTCTCTGATTCTCTCCTCTCTCCTTCACTTCTCTAAGCATACACACGCTGAATCCCGAGTCCGAATCCTGAACCGATGCGAAGCACGGGCCGAGGGGCCTCAAAGCCCGAGTACACATGTCTACGGGGAGTCTTGGGCTGTTTACCTTGGCAAGCCTTGTGCACTCAAGCATACCAGCGACACGCACGCACGCGCACGCACACGCACGCACACGTGAAAAGAAACGTGTGAATTCTTGGGGAGCCGGCGCAGCCCAGAGAGAAGATGTCCATGGCAGCCTCGAGGCGCAGCGTGCACGACTCGACTTCCGAGGGCTTAGGCCCAGGCTTTTGGGTGTAGGGTACTGTAGGTTGGGATGTTCCCCCTGAGACAAACAGTCCTGAATAAGGATACTAACAGGGGGGTTACTATAATCCCTACTAAGGACTGTTAGTATAAGGGGGAACAGGATGCTCAAGCACCCCTGCTGCTGAAACCTGGTCCGGGGTGCGAGATGTGCCGGCAACGTAGGCTGATAATGGGGGTGGCTGCTGTTCGGGCTCCTACCTACAACCGGCGCTCTGAACAGCAAGCCCTGAGGGTGTTGAGCGGTTAAGGGTTAAGGGTTAAGGGTTTAGGGTTTAGGGTTTATAATTAGTCGGGTTAAGGGTGACCCTGCGGAAGCCAGTGCGGGACATCGTCGACAGTTCGGTTTCGCAATCAAAGTCATCCCGGGCGCGGACTTCCTCAAAAAAACTCTTTGCTGCCATAAAAAGCCTTTTCCAACTCTACGTCCCAGTTCCAGCTGGACCCCCGCCACCCTAGCAAGCCACCATGAATTGCATCAAAGCGTTCTCTGAAACAATACCACAATAATCAATGAATCTGAGCTCCCAAATTAGAACAAGTAGAATGATTGGAAGAACTAGAACAATTAGAATAGTTAGAATACCTATAGGTTCATTAGAATAAATATAGCAACTATATAACAACTAGAACAACTAGAATAATCAGAACATTCAGGAAAATCGACTTCTTCAGGTCCCGGCCAACTCGCGCGAAAACCGACCACGGGCTAGGCTTGCCACAGCACCTCAAGAGGGGTAGGGGTGGGCAGGGCTGTCTTAGGCTTGAGGGCTTAGGGCTTGGGGCTTAGGGCTAAGGGCTAAGGGTTTAGGGTTTGGGGGTATACCTCTGGGGCCGCAGCATGTAAATCTGAGGGCGTTGAGGGCTTCGAGGCTCCTGAGGCTTTGTGGAAGAAGTATTGGGGGACTTTGGAGGTGATCCTAGGGTCTATGCCCCCACCCCCCCCCCCCTTCCAAACGCTCCCAAGCCCCAAACTTTGAACCCCACACCCTCACAAAGAGGTTGAGGTTTTTATTACCCCACAGCAGGCTGATAGTGGCCTTTGGTTGGGGGGAAGGGTGGGTCGAGGTTGATTGAGGAGTGTGGCCTCGAACTCCCTGGATGCCTTTCCTTCCAAACTTAAGCACAATCGATGGCCAGAAACACCCTTGCCTATTCAGGTCCTGGCGTTTTGGGCTTATGGTGTACAGGGTTTGGGAATAAGTGGGGGTTTAAGGCCGGAGTAGAGATTAGGGTGATTAGGGGAGGGCCTATATGGCCTATGTTGTCTAGATTTGGGGTTGAGGGTCAAGGGTCCACAGGTTTATCAGGCTGTTTTCAGCCTCCCAGATCCACCCACCTCCCGGAACCCTGCACACTAAACCGCTTTGGGTAGTTCATTTTGGTCACTGGGATGGACCGTAAACCCTGCACCTAATGCTAAGAGAATCCCCCCCTAGCTATGCCCTAACCCTAGAACGTCTAGAGCCCTAAGACTCAGAAACCCTTAGCTAGCCCCAAGACCCTAACACATCCTAACGCTCTTAGCCCTGCGGCAGTTTAGGGTTTAGGGTTTATAGGGTTTGGGCGCCCCCGCCTGTGCACTCAAAGCGCTCGGGCGCGAGATAGCATCGATGCCCTCAGCGTGGAGCGTGGGGTGAGCGAAATGGGAGAGAGCACTACTTGCAAGGGCCCCTAAACCCTAAACTCCCCAAACCCTAAACCCTAAACTCCCCAAACCCGAAACCCTAAACTCCCCAAACCCTAAACCCTAAACTCCCAAACCCTAGCTCCAGTGCGGGGTGTTCTTCGGCCTTTTTGTGCTGGGCGAGAGCTGTGAGGGCTCCTAAGCGGGTTTTAGTTTAGGGCTTTGGGTTCAAGCTTTGCATACTTTGGGTTTGGGGTTTAGGCTTCGGGCTGCTCAGGGCTTAATTAAAGGTTTGGTTTGGAGTCTTGGGCTTACAAGGGTTTAGGGTTTAGGGTTTAGGGTTTAGGGTTTAGGGTTCACGGATTGCAGTAGGGGTTGAGGGTTCACGGATTGCGGTTTGGGGTTCAGGGTTGGGGTTCAGGGACTTAGGCCTAAACTTTAGAGTTTAGGGTCTGGGGTTTCGAAAATCAACAGTGGACGTGCGCAGAGTGCATCTTTTTTTCTTGAGACTCACGGGCGCACACCCGCAAAGCTGCCGTTCTAAACCCTTACAAACTCTCAACTCTAAAGCCTACCCCCCTTCGCCTCGAGGGCATGAGGCCCCTAGCTCAGATTTAGGGTTTAGGGTTTAGGGTTTAGGGTTTAGGGTTTAGGGTTTAGGGTTTAGGGTTTAGGGTTTAGGGTTTAGGGTTTAGGGTTTAGTATAGACATCGGCCCCGGCGCCGAAACACTCAAGAAGACCCCAGAAGCCCTGCACCTAGATCCTGAACCCAGACCCTACACAAATCAAAAAGCAAACAACGAAAACGAAGAGACTGAAAAACAAGCGACACGCCCTAAGCCCGGTATGAGTACTGTGCCAAACATGTACATATACAGTCGTTTGTATACAAACTAGTACAAACAGAAACCTAACACCGAAAACCGAAACCTTTCACTGAACACTATAAAAAACATAGACCCTAAACTCTACAAATCCTCCTGGAGGCGCGGGCGATTGCGATCTGACTCGAAGAAGAAGGAGAACCTGGATAAGGCTGGAGGTATTTCGAGGGGGTTTAGGGCCTTAAAGTTTCAGGCTAAGGGGTGCGGAGGCCAGTTTTGGGGGTTTAGGGTTTCGGGCTAGGCAGTCTGAGAAGCACCGGCCTTTCCTGTTGACTGTTTGGGGTTTGCTGAACTTGTTGGTCCAACATTCGTGCTTCACGATTGCGCTTCTCTGTTGGGGTAGGTTTGGAGCAGGGAACATGGAGCACGTTGGATTCTGGGGCTTGTGTCATATGCTGTGCATTTACTTCTCGCCATTTGCTGGCTTGGGTTGGCCGCCTTCGGCAGCAGGGGTGGACATGAAAGATCATCTACAGCGTTGCGCCCGAGAATCCGTATGGTCTGCTCACATACGCCTTCGGGTCTGGCTGTGGTAACCCCTACCCGAACTCGAAAGCCTTCAAACCCGAAACCCGACACCCACCCTAAACCCTACACTCTACGCCCTAACCCCGAAACACCCAAACCCTCCCAAAAGCTCATGCGCTGAGGCAGGTACTCAGTGGGATCATCCTGCAAAGATGGTGACATTTGATTTGAGGGGTTAGGGTTTGAAGGGTTTGAATCAAGGGAGTCAAAACTTGGACCCCTAAGAGTCTCTTCTCAATATGGCCCTCCTATTCCCTGGGAGGATCTTTGAACCCTTACACAGGGTCCCCAACCCAAGGGTGCAACCTTACGAGTCCAAGGTATGAGTCCCATGAGTGTAGGGTGTGGGTAGGGCTTTGAGGTGTAGCCTTTCGGGCTTGGAGGGCCTTTTTGCGGCTTAACACGTAAAAGGGTCTAGGGTTTTGCTTACAAGCGTCGAGGATCAGGGATTGACGGATTCCAGCGCGCAAGACGTAGTTTATACAGCCTGGGCAAAATTGACATCCCTAAGCCCTAAACGCCAAATGCTGAACCCTCATATGCCGATGACAACCCCACCCCCATCTGTGGACAGGAGGCCCTCCACGTGTGGATGGGAAAGCCAGTCATGGTCTAGGGTTTGGCGTTTAAGTCTTCGCGACCCCATCCCCATCACACTTGTACGGCTTTCCGTGTCACCCTGGAAATTCTGAAGCTTCCCTGAACAAGGAGTTGTGGGTGGCCTGGGGGTTAGAGCCACTTCCGTAAAAAACTTGAAGCCTAAACCCTGAATTGGGGGGGGGGGGGGTGACCTGCGGAAGCATCAGCGGCTTAAAGGTTGCAAAGTCCGTGATGATCGCATGGTTCCAGGACCTTTGTGATCTGCGTGGTTTAGGGTTTAGGGGCCGTGAGAACACCTGAGATTTTAGTCTTGTACTGCTTGGGTGCCTTGCACTCCGTGCTTGCGTCGCGCGGGTAAGAATGTTTAGATGTCAGGCATATAATAAGACGAGCCATCAACAAAGGAGAAGTGGACATGTGGCTGTTCTAGACTAGGGTCCTCCAATAGAAGCACCCTGTCGTACAATCAAAGCCGCTTTTGGAAGATTACCTCCAAAGGGCCCTAGTTTTGAGAAAGAAGACCCGAAGAGTTCTGTTTAGGGTGTAGGATTTAGGGTTTAGGGTTTACCTAGGAAGGCTGGCATAGAAAGCCCATCGAGACACTGGAGTGGGATGTTTGACCATGGCTCTGGGATGCATAGACCCCTACCCCAGAATTCGGCCTCGCTTATAGGCCCGCATCAGAGCTGCGGTTGGGAGTTTCAGTTGGGGGTTTAGTTATGGTGTAGGTTTAGGTTTAGGGGATCAGGTTTCAGGCTCATTGATTGAGGTTCGGAAAGGGACTCCAATTCAACGTCAGCACCCGGCGAGACAAAGATGTTCTCGGTTTTCAAGTCGCCGTGCACCACCTGATGCTGCCGTAGTCAGAGGATCATTCAAACTTACAAGGCTTTATGGGTGTTCCCCCTTATATTATTACTAATAGACGGTACTATATTGGAGGAACATCCCAGTTTATGCGAGGGTTTGATGCTGGTTCAAGGGCAAGTGGACCACTGGTGGCGTCCAGCATACATGAAAATCGGCACGCACTTGTTCGGGACTCTCACGGACTGGGCTCAGAAACTGGATCCCGGTGTCTCTGTGCCAAAGGACTCTGTGCAAAGCAGTGGCATGTCTTAGTATAACCAACACAGTTCGAGCTGCACTGCGACTCACACGCACCCAACCGCCCTCGCCCGCACGCGCGCGCCCACAAAGCCTCATGCCTACGGGCAAATTTTGTACGTGGGCCTCCCCTTACTAGCAAAGTGGATTATAAGATTTGACCTGAGTTCGGTAGCCCACAGCAAGCACTTTAGCCCGTGGTCTTGCTGTCATGCGCCGGGCGCTGACTCGTTGGCCTTAAGGGCTCCGCAAACACTGATGCTCCCGTCTCAACCATACCTAGGGCCATGGCCCTTTGGATTCATCTCATGCATCCCTGCTCGCTGCCCATACACCAGACATAGAAGGTTCCGGGTAGAATCGAGGGAAATCCGTAGCTAAGTCTGTAATTTACACCACAGTGTACTTCAAGAAACTAGCCACGTGAGTACTTATAGTTGAATCCCAAAATCTATATACCCCAATTTTGTCGAATCCACGTCCAGCTGTATGAGCTGCATAGTGAAGGGCTAAGGGTTTAGGATCCCCCCCGGGACCCTAAACCCTAAACCCTAAACCCTAAACCCTAAACCCTAAACCCTAAACCCTAAACCCTAAACCCTTTACCCGAAACCTTAAACCCTCAACCCTGAACCCTTGCATGCAAAGTGTTCGGGGAAGCGTCGCCCGAGAACGCGGCCCCTGCGGAGTGGGCTTGGCAAACGCCAGCGACGACCTGCCGTCTCTGCTTCTTATGCTAGCTATGGACCCCGACCTGATAGGGTCCGGGGTTTAGGGTTTAGGGTTAGGGCTTGAGAGGTTTAGGAAACCCTAAAACCCTCCTGCGTGGAGTTTTTGGTCGGGGTCTCGGTTTCCGGCTCTGAGGCTCAGAGGGTGTGGTTTTAGGTGTCAGGGCACTTGTGGGGCTGGGCAACTTTTCAAAGAAAGGTTAAGGGGAAACGGGAAGTTTTAGGCGTGTTAAGGAGTTCAGGATTTAAGTCAGACTTCATGGAGTATAGGTTAGGGAGTTCAGGATTTCGGGTTTAAGGAGTTCAGAGTTTGGGGCTCAGGAATTCCAATTGCGCAATCTAGGAGCTTCTTTGTTGTGTATACACCCCCTCTGCCAAACACCCCCTCTCTCAACAGTTGGAGTCCTGTTCTTGCCGTCTCTCGATCAGCGGCCTTCCCGCTGGTTTAGGCTTTGGAGAAAGGTCAAGGATTGACTGAAGAAGACCCTCCCCAACAGCAAGCACCCCACCCCTCCGATAAAACAGCTGCATGTTCCCCTTCCAGCTTCTCCAATAACCACTGGATAAACATGTTGAACTTTATGATTCCCACATCAAAAGGAAACCCAAAAATCTTAACGTTTATGTATTGGGCTGAGTAAGTGTCTTTCTGGCGGACCGCCTTACAGCGGCATGTCCGATAGCAAATCATCCCAGGAACCCCGACGGTCGGGCCCCTCAAGTCTGAACCCCAAATCCCCCAAAGCCCCAAGACTCTAACCCCGAAAGACCCCAAACCGCCACAGCTCTACGTTATACAACCAAGTTGGTCTAGAAAACAGAATCTCTTGAGCTGTTTGGAAAAGCCCTCAATTTGGCTGGGTTGAAAACAGCTTGCGACTGCGCCGATGTTTTTTCTCAGAAGCAAGCAAACGGAATTGCTTCCCCTTTGCGCTGAAGGTGGGCATGCGCGAACGCCCGCGCCAGCCGCACCGAGACCTGGGGATTGGATCACTTCGGGGTCCGGAGACCTTGGGGTCTTTATAGGGCTTAAGAAATTACTCGGGAAGTTTGAAGGGCCTCTTGAAGGAGAGGCGCGTCTCTGCTTCATCGGCTGGGCAGAACCCCAAACCCTAAACCCCAAACCCACAACCCTAAACTCCAAACCCTGATCGAGAAGATGAGCTCTGAACTCTGAAAAGCTGTGCACCAGTGCCAGGCGCGGGACAGGGACCAGCTCGATGGCAAAGGTGCCCATGTGTGTCAGCTCACCTCACTGCGCAGAAGCGGCCACAACAGCCTGGAATTCCCTTCTTCGTTTAGGGTTTAGGGTTTAGGGTTTAGGGTTTAGGGTTTAGGGTTTAGGGTTTAGGGTTTAGGGTTTAGGGTTTCGGGTTGCATCGAGGGTTTCGGGGCCCCTTTCGGCTCAAGGTCTGGTACTTCTAGGGTTCCATCTAACCAGGGCCGAAGAACACCCGATAAAACCCGACAAAACCCCATAAAAAATAAGCCCACTGTAGCCCCAACAGCAAAGAAGACTAGAGATGCTTCAACCCCGGCCCCCCAAAACACCGAATGCGATGCTTTCATGCATTAGTTTCCGGGCTTTTGGAAATTCCAAAAGTTCACAAAGACACAAATTGACTCCAAGCACCAAGCGCGAACCATGAAAAACCTCGAGAAAACAAGCGTGGACCTTCGTCCGGGCTAAAGGTTAACAAAGAAACACATACCGCGGACAATGACCTTGCATATAGCTTAGCCGACTGCTTGCAAGGAAAACTTGGCATGCATCGCTCTTACAATTGTAACACCAGGCTAATTGTACGGGGAGAAGCTCGTTTCAAGCCAGTGTGCTTCTGAGGGTTCCGCTCCGGAACCTGCTCCGGAACCCGTTCTTGGTCCATGGAACGCGCTCCAGAACCTGCTCCGGAACCCCATGGCTCCGCGGACCATGAAAAACCTCGAGAAAACAAGCGCGGACCTCCGTCCGGACTTTTGGGACTTACAAAGGTGAACAAAAACAAAGAAACGCTTACCACGGGCCATGGAACAGAGACAGCTTAGCAGACCTCTTGCAAGCAAGACTTAGCATGCATCGCGGTTACACTTGTATACCGCCAGGCCAAGCCATTGTGTGGGGAAAAAGGTGTTTCAAGCCCTTGGCCCGTGGAACCTGCTCCCGAAGCCGCTCCGGAACGCTCCGGAACCCGCTCCGGAACCCGCTCCGGAACCTGCTCCGGAACCCGCTCCGAAACCCGCTCCAGTAACCAAGGGCTGGAGACCCCATCGCTTCGCTGTTGGGGAAAAATGAAGCACAACAGAAAACCCTTTAAAGTTAAAAACAAACCTATAAAGCCGAATAAACCCCCATAGTTAAGCCCCAAACCCTAAAAAACTCAAAGCCCAGGTCAGTTCCTTGGACATCCTCGAGAGGCGCCCGGCAGAATCAGCGCTCAGATGGATTTTACTTCCAGGTGCAGGAGTGAGGCTCAAAGAACCAGAGAAGAAGAACCCAAAAGGATTCCATCGCCACTTGTAGATGTAGTGACCTATGAAACCCTAAGCCCTAAACCCCAAACCCCAAACCCCAGTATGCCGTTGAAGATTCTTCCCCTGTCGGAAGCATAGACCCCATGTAGCCAGGCTGCCGATGCGTGGACCCCACTTCGGATCCCCGAGCAGCCAGTCCTTGTGCAAAGCGGCTTTGGGGATTGGTATTGTGGGGGCTGTTGGGGGAACCCTGAAGCCTAACCCCCCCAAAAAACAAACGAAAAAGAACAAAACAAAAACTCTAGCAGTCTGGCTGGCTGTCATGGTTGAAGTTGGCGTCTTGAGGCGCCTTGGGCTTTCAAACTTCCAAACCTTCGCTGTGCGTGGGCTACGTGCTCTGGGACGCCCGTTGACATCCCTCGGTCGCAGGCCAGAAAATGGGGTGCGGCCCGTAGAGGTCAACCCTGAATACCTTAGACCCTGTAAGCCTTGAAGCCATTACACAGAACTGCTAAGCCCTAACCCCCTTGAGTTTACAAAGCCTAAACAGGGATTGGGGCCGTTAAGCTTGTGGAGCAGTAGCTGGAGTAGTGGAATTGCTGGGTTAAAGTTAGCCTGAGTGTTCCCTAAACCCTAAACTCAAAAGCCCTAAGGTTTTGGGGTTTAGGGCGAAGGGTTTAGGGCTTATGGGGTTTAGGCCTTAGGGTTCTAGCTTCAACACTCCACCTCAAGGATTCAGTGCCGGCAAAGGGTCCACACGGATCTCGTCGAGTCCGGCCTCATACTGCTTTCTCTTCGCTCCAAACAGGCGCGTGCCACAATAGGTAAACCCAACAAAGGAACATCCCTAAACCCTCAACCCTAAACCCTACAACCTAAACAACAAATCCCAAATCCCAAATGCCTACCCAGTAGTTGCGGCCCTGTTGAAGTATCTGCTAGAAATCTTGTACAGGATCGGGTTCAGGGTCTAGGGCTGTTGCATGCATTCCTTTCGAGTTTAACTAGACCCTAGAGTAACCTAGGAATAAAAAGGGTGCCCTTTTTGGCTCACGAGGCTTACAAGGGAACCCAAACCCTAAAAAGAGGGAATAAGGGCCTACTCTGGGTCCTAGTTAAGTAGGCCACCAGAAGGCGCCCACCCTGGGATCTGAAGTTGACAGGCTCAGGAACCCGGAAAGCAGCTCACTTCTCCCAACGAACAGGGGATACAACAAGTTAAACGTTGCCCTAAACCCTAAAGCCTGAACCCTGAACCCGAAACCCGAAAACCCTAAACCCCAATCCCACATAATGTGGGAACCCCAAAAGCTAAGGTTCCGCTGCGGGCTGCGGCTAAGCAAGGAATGCTGAATGGCAAGGCCAAGCCACCGATCGCGCCAGCCTGACGAAACTCGGAACTCGTTGGTGTTCAGGGCTTTCGTGTTTTTCAGGGCTTTCAGGATTTTCAAGGTTTTCAAGGCTTCAGGGTTTTAGGGTTTCAGGGCCTTGAAAGTTTGGGGTGTTAAGGTGTTAGAGAAGACTTTTGCTGTCAAACTGTCCAGTAGCAACAGAAACTACATGATCCTGCAGAACTGCAGCACCTTTGCCTTACACCCAACACTAGGCAATTAGACCCGTAACCCTCAGGGTTTCCTTTGTTTTGGTTGCTTTCATAAGGGAACCTAGAACCAAAAAAAGGGCAAACGGCTACCACTGGGCTACCAAGAACTTCACGGTACAGATCGACGTTGTGTGGATTCCGGTAGCTTCACCCTAAACGGGTTTACGGTTTAGGGTTTAGGGTTCAGGGAAAGCCTCCCTCTCCCCCTAAACCCTAAACCCTAAACACTAAACCCTAAACCCTAAACCCTAAACCCCCATGCAAGTGCGACGGAGGAGCATCTCCGAATCTGAACGCAGGCGCTGCCAATGCTCCTGGCACCCGAAATTACCCAGGGTGTCGGCTTCAGGGCCTGGGGTTGAGTTTAGGGTTTAATTAGGGTGTAGAGTTTCGGGTCTAGGGTGTAGGGTCTAGGGTCTAGGATGTCGACTTCAGGGTCTGGGGTTGGGGTTGATTTTAGGGGTTTCGGGCTTAGGGTCTATATTTGGGGTTTAGGGTTTAGGGTTTGGGGTGTATTTTTGAGGTTTAGGGTTTAGGGCTCAGGGAAGCCTGGGCCAACACCCCCCACACCCAACCCTGAATCCTGATTCCCCAAACCCTGGTCTTGAGTTGGGTGCTGAAACCCTGGAAGTAAACTCCACATGGGCTAAAACGCATGCAGCCAACCCCTAAAACCAATCCGTAAACCCTGAACCCTAACACCCTCAACCCTGAACTTACTAAACCCAAAAGCAGCTCCGAAACTACCGCCCTGGGCAATCCCAGCTCCCCCTTGATCTCAGTGGAGCTGGCTGTAGGGTTTTTAGGGCCATTTGGTGTTGGTTAGGGTTGGGGGGGGGGTCATTTTGCCATAGTTTGGTTTAGCTTTTTGGGCGGGGGGTGTGGTTATGACCCGACTCTCCTTGCTCCATATCCTGCACTGCACTGCACTCGACAATCGATGCACCCTGCACCCTGAACAGACTAACATCCTGAATCCTATAATCTCGGTAAACAACGTCTAAAACCTGTAGACCCGACAAAAACCATAACAAATGCCCGAAATAAGCCCTATATAAAACCCGAACAAGAAACCGGCCAAACGAAACGCCTGACCGAATTGTACATCCTGGAGCCGCTACATAGACCCCACGAACCAGACAAATCAAAACCTCGAAGCCCCACAACATCCCACAACCCTCAGCCCGGGCACTGTAGGGGCTCGAAGGTCTACGGCTCCAGGGACATGCAACTCAACTCATTCGGATTTTGGGTTCAGGCCTTGGGTTTAGGGTTTAGGGCTTAGGGTTTGGAGTGTTGGCCGTAGGGCTTAGGCCCTTGTGGTGCAGGGTTTTGGGCTTCTGCCCGTCCAAAAAGCAGGGCGCCTGCAGGATGTCTCTCAGAAAGAGAGCCAGCTCCTTGGGAAGCTCCTGTCAGTTGGGTTTAGGGTTTAGGGTTCAGGGTTTAGGGTTTAGGGTTCAGGGCTTGGGGTTTAGGGTTGAGGGTTGAGGGATTAATGTTGCACCCGCAATATTCTAGGGGGACGCTATTATGAAAAGTTTTCCGGCTATTCAGGATCTGGACCCTTTGTTTTGGGGGGTCCGCTATAATGAAAAGATTTCGGGCCGGGCCTGTTTTTTTGAGGGTGTCAGGAAGGCATAAGCTTCTCGAGAAAGAGAGATACTTGAAGCCTGAAGCCTCGACCTGTCCAGGATCTCCGACAATCTTCTTTTTTCAGGGCGCCTTTTCTTTATAAATTCCTTACTTAAAACTAAATGATTCCATAGGCGAATCATATCCGGAAAGGGGGTACCTTACGGAGGCCTCCGGACACACTTTAATACCTTTGTTTGGGGGCCCGCTATAATGCAAGTCTCCCGGGGCCAGGGGCTCAGTCCTTCGGTTTTCAGGAAGGCATAAGCTTTCTCGAGAAGGAGGGATACTTGAAGCCCTCCTCGACCTGTCCAGGATCTCCGACAATCTTCTTTTTTCAGGGCGCCTTTTCTTTATAAATTCCTTACTTAAAACTAGATGATTCCATAGGCGAATCATATCCGGAAAGGGGGTACCTTACGGAGGCCTCCGGACACACTTTAATACCTTTGTTTGGGGGCCCGCTATAATGCAAGTCTCCCGGGGCCCGGGGCTCAGTCCTTCGGTTTTCAGGAAGGCATAAGCTTTCTCGAGAAGAAGGGATACTTGAAGCCTGAAGCCTCGACCTTTCCAGGGTCGCGGGGTAGCTTAGGGAGGCTCCGGACCCCCCCCCCCCCGACTGTTTGGGGTCTTTTTTTATTCAGGCTCGCGACTGTTGGGGGGGGGGGGGGGGGGGTAACTTATTAAAGCAGGTCCAACATTAGGGTTTAGGGTTTAGGTTTTGGGTTTAGGGTTTAGGGTTTAGGGTTTAGGGTTTAGGGTTGAGGGTTTGGGGTTTGGGGTTTAGGGTTTAGGGTTTAGGTGAACCCTCAACTGCTCTTTCCTGTGGCTGCTTTAAAGGATCCTTCGAGCCGGGGTTGGGGTCTCGGGGTACCAGCTGGGCAATTACAACAACATTCGGGTTTTGGCTTGCAGTACCCATACATCCAACAAACAAATGGAATTGCCCCAGGTCCTTCAACTTGTTGCTCACTCAATCAACCGTCCTCCGTCGCAAGTACCGCCCTACTACCCCTAAACCCTACACCCTGAATTCTGAAACTTCAGAAAAGAGGAAGCCCGGACCGAAGCAGCCTATAGGACATGTGGTGCAGGCTTAGGGTTTGGAGTTTAGGGTTTAGGGTTTAGGGTTTGGAGTTTAGGTTTGCGGCTTCCCTGAGGCTTCCTCCGGCTCCTTTGCGTGCCTGGTCTGGAAACCTTCCTCGGTCGGGCACGGGAGAACGCAAGGAGACTCACGAGCTGAGGCTAGAGGTTTTGGGTGCCTGCATGGAATGGAGGGTGAAAAAGACAGTGGATGGAAAGAGGGAGAGGGAAAGAGCGAGAGCGAGCCCCAAGAAGTAGGGAAACAAGGAGCTGAAACTTGAACCGACCAACGCCGTCGGTTCCAGAACACAAGGCTGCATCTTTCCGAAGTGTTCGTGTCAGATCATAGCCACGGAACGAACATCTGAGAACACCACATGTCCAACAATCCTAGCCACTGACTGCCTTGATTTGCCGACTCTACCTGAAAACCAGCAGTGTTAAGCCCAGCTGCAGCCATCTGATCCCAGACATGGACACTGCCATCTCTGGCTACCCACAGGTACTGCGGATGCGTGTTCCTGGGCAAGCATCTACCCTGGACTTTTGGCGCTTTTCCGGTGGATTGCGAACGGCAACACGACAGGGACTGGGTTTAGGGCACGAAAGCACAGTAGTTGCAGCAAGATGTGGGGAGCACCCCTTTGCAGGCTCTGACCAGAAAAACCGGTGCCTTGCCAATACCACAACACATGAGATCACATGAGAAGGCCTCCATCACGAACCCAGGAAGCCCTACCCAAATATAGCGAATGAAGCCTGAGTGGCAGCTGCGCCCCAACGACTTCGCCGAAAAGTGTTTGAACCTTGAGCTCCAGCGGCCTCTGTGACATTTAGGGGTTATAGGGGGTTTCAGGGGTTCTAGGGTTTACGAAACAGGTTTGGTTTAAACAGGGTTTCTGAGCTTAGGGGTTTAAGGACTGTTGGGGCTTGTAGGTTTAAGGTTTGAGGCTTCGGGCTTCGGGCTTGGGGTCTATAGGGTTTAAGGGCATGAAGTATTTTCGAGTCTTGGTGGGTGTTTGAACATCCATTTTCTTGTTGGGGTTAGGGACTTCGGGGTTTGGTCTTGGGGCGGTGGAGGATGCTTGGGCGGTTTAAGATTTAGGGTTTAGGGCAGGGGGGTTTAAACCTGTTCGCATACGCTTTTGCATCTTCGGGGGTGCCTTGTAAGGGGGAGATGTGGGAGAATAGCCCCAAGAACGCAGCCCCAGTCTGCAGCCCAAAGCCCGCCAGCCATAAAAACCCTAAACCCTAAACCCTAAACCCTAAACCGCCCAACCCTCGTTCAGTGACCTCATTCACGCGGCTTGGAAGGGCGCAGACCCACGAAGCTGTAGGTTTTGGGGGGGGTCTAAGGGAGGGCTGGGACCCCAAACCCTGTCCCCAAACCCTAGCCCTAAACCCTTAACCCTATACCCTACACCCTAAACCCTAAACCCTAGCCCCAGACCGCCAAACCCCACTTCAAACATGTAAGGAAGCGCTGGTTTTCGGGGTGGCCTCAAGAACTTCGGGCACACGCCGCGCTCGAAGGCGTGACGGCTTCTTTCCATCTCATCGCCTTGGGATTGGAAGGTTTAGGTCTCGGGTTGTGAGGGTTTTAGGGTTTAGGGTCAAGGTCGGGGCATAGGGGCCGCAATGAAAAATGGCTCATGGTTCGGAAAAGTTGGGCATGTGCTAAGGCCACTGCTCACTGTGTATTCTCAACTCAACCGTGGCTTCACCTGGGAGTACGCGCACTTTGTCTTCTTGGGGTGCTTCACCTAGCTTCGAATACAATCAATTCGAAGCAGCTGCTGCTTGTCTGACTTCTGACTCGCAACCTTCTCCCCAAAGACTTGGTCAGCTCTCTAAGTGTTGCCTTTTCAGGTTCCGATGAAAATATACGGAGAAAACGAGCCTTGTGTTTAGGCACCCAGAAGGGGATTTAGGGAACTGCCCTGCCCTGTGTCTCGCATTCAGGAGGCATGGATATCCGTGGAGGAACTCGGCCAAAGGGGAATACATCGGCTGGAGCACGACACCTGTTTCTGTGCAGGGAAATGGTTGAAGGTTAGGGTCTAGGGTTTCTAGGGGAAGACCATTGAAGATCCGCATAAAGCCATTACTCGCCATGACCGGGTCGTCAACATGTATGCCATGCAGGAATGGAAAGGGATGATGCGGGGGGAAGGGGGCTCCCCCAAGGCCAATGTGCCTTCATCTCAAGTAGACCAGGATCGCTACCAGGGACCGAACTGCGCCCCAAGCTCCGAAGCGCTTGTGAAGGAACTCGGGTTTAGGCAGTGTAGGGTAAAAGCTTTAATGTGTGCGATAGAATTCTCACATGCTTCAGGCCCACCCTAAACTTCACACCCTCACCTTCGCAATGAGAACCTCCCCAGCCGAAAACGCAAAAACAAATCTGCTTCAAGGGGCCCTTCGGCACGGCATTTTGGTTCCAGGACTCCTGTTTCTTTAAGCAGGCAAGAACGATACCCTAAACCTTCTAGACCTTCTAAACCTTCTAAGCCCTATGCGCGAAACCCTAAATCAGCGGTTTGGGGTTGCTTGGGTTGCGGGACCGTAGCTATTCGGAGCCGCGACTTTGTGGAGGTTTCAGGGGGTTGCTTGGGGTTCTTGGCGTTTAAAGGGTTCCATCTCATTCGGGTTGAATCAGGGTTTCGGGATGCCTGAACCCAAGAAACCAAAACCCAATACCCCGCCCGAACCAAGGCTGCTCGTGGAAAGAGAACTGTAAACACATGTATTATATGGGTAGGTGGTCTCTTTAAGTAGGGATTCTGTTTTATAGGGGCATATATTCGGGTTCTTATTAGGGTATCCAGGCGCTATATTAAGGTATGCCACGCTCCCAAGGCATAAGGGGAGCATATTAAAGAGGCCACCGGCCTTTGTAACACATGTAGGTAGTTCTAGAAATTAGAGTCCCGTTTTGGGCCCTAGATAGATTCATATAATTATAGGACGGCACCCTTCTCATGGGACCCCAAAAAGGGACCCTGGTTTAGAGAACTGCCCGCCGCATCTTCTGTTTCCTTTGCTTAAGGGGTCAATTGGGCGCCTTAAAGCCTACTCCTAACCCCCAGAACCCTAAACCCCTAAACCTTGAACCCTAAACCCTAAACCCTAAACCCTAAACCCCTAAACCCCTAAACCCTAAACCCTAAACCCGGACTTCCCAGGGAGGGCTCCTTGTCCCAGGACTTGTCGTGAGACTCAGAGGCTTTGAGCACGCTTTCCTCTTTAGGGTCTCGGTTTCAGGGCAGGCCTGTTCGCGTAATCTCGCAGCAGACCGGTACTTGTAAGCCCTCAACCCTAAACCCTAAACCCTAAACCCTAAACCCTAAACCCTAAACCCTAAACCCTACATCCTGAGCCTCGGAGTTCAAGGCTCTCTCTCGCTCTCTCTCTCTCTCGCTCTGGCCCTCTCTGTCGTGGGGCCACACACCATCCCATTCTTTTCCTCGGGCAGTGTTATCGTCATAGGGTTGTTGGGAGCATCGGGAGTCGGGGTCTGAAGGTTGAGGGGTTCATAGGGTTTAGGGTGTAGGTCTCTCCCTCTGATATGCACAGACAAGCAACACGCACATACTCTCACAATAAGCATCGGACCCCCTTGGCCCCCCTTCACTTAGATCCCGGGCCCCCTGCGCATCCCGAAGTCGCTGTGTACAAGCTTCTGATGGCAAACGTCGAAGGCACGCAATGGTTTAACTCGGAGGATTTCGCGGTTTGGGGCCCCCTACCCTGCTCACCTGAAACCTGGCTTTGAAGTCCAAAGAAAACTTAAAGAATTGAGCCCCAAACCTCTAGAGTTCGTTTTAGACAACTGTTGTGTAACGGCTCCACCTCCAACTCTTTCGCGTCGACCTCCTGCAGGGGCTATGCATGTAGGGGGGGGCTCCTTCTGCGGGGACCCCCTGCAGTCTTGAGAGCGCTTACTGGGGTCTAGGTCGTGTTAGCACGGGTACCTTCTCATTATAAGAGGCACCGGAAGCGCGGAGTTTAGACAAGCCCCCACATGCAGTCGGGGTGGGGGGCTTAGGGTTCAGAGCTCATGGTCCATTGGTTTAGGGTTGAGGGTTCCGGGTGCAGGGTTTCGGGCTCAGGCTGCTTGAGGTTTAGGCTTTGAGGTTTAGGGGGCTTCAGGGGTTTCGGGCGCATGCAGGATCGGGCGTGGTGTTTTCCGGTTTGAATGTTGTCCAGCAAGTTTTTGCAGCCACGCTAGGAGCCCTCCCAGTACGGCAGCTTTCCCTGAAAGATCTCGTCAAGTCCAAATAATGGAGGTCTCTTTGTGGGTCATGGCTTGCAGCTAGCTGTCTCGATGTACGTTGAGCTCAGTGAACTGGGGTTTCCAACGGAAGGCTCGGGGCGACGGCCACCAAAACTCGCAAGGCTCCCTAAACCCCAAACCCTGACACTAAATGAGCCGTAAACCCTAAACCCTATAGAACCTAAACCCTAAACCCTGAACCCTGTAAACCCTAAACCCTACCGCAGCTTACGTTCAAACAAACAATAATGCGGCCGGGGCTACCTGAGGTCTGGGCCAGAGGAAGACGTGCTTCGAGTTGGAGCCATGACGGGGCTTGACCTCAGGCTATAAGCACAACCCGCAAGGGCCCTTCAGACCCACTGACTCCAGGTAGCGCAACCAAAGACGTTCCCACGCGCCCCCAAGTGCAACCAACCCGGGTTGTAGGTGAATTGCAGTGGAATCTAGGGCTTAGAGGCTTTGTCTTATCGGTGTTGCCCCACTCTTGCTGACGAAGATCGACCAACGGCTCGGAGGACACGGCCAATTTTTGGGCGAGCTTCTCCAAGCCCACAGCATCTCCCTGCACTTTTGGGTTTAGGGCGTGTTGGTCGAGCTGTTAGCGCAAAATACCGGCTTCCATGATCTGATTACTTGGTCAGCTGAGCCCTGTATAGGTACTCTGAGCCCGAAACCCACAAAGCCCAACCCAACATCTAACCAACCAACAACGTGGAACATCCTTGAAACATGCTCGGAGTAACCCTAAACCCTAATCCCTAAACACTGGAGTGCACTTTCGGTTTGGGATGCAAAGCAACCTTGGCAGAGTCGAAGGCAAGAGGCCTTGCGCGCATGGCCCAGGAGAGGGAGGTGGCGCTCCCCTTTCAGAAGCGCCTCTGAGAGGGCTCCAGAGGATTCGGTAGGCCCTTAAGACCCTCTGAGAAAAAATATTCTTAAGCATGATCCTTCAAAACCCCATGAAGGAAAATAGGAACTATCCGTGGCCCTTAAGACCCTCTGAAAGATCGTCCTAGAAGGGATGAAATGTGAAGTTTATCCCAGAGGCCCTACCTAGTATGGAGTTGGGAGTCTCCAGTGTGCCCTGAGTTTGGGAGAAGTGCGGGAGGGGTATCTGCCTCGCATCTGCACGCTTGAACTCCGAAAACGGAACATTAAACCCTAAACCTAAACCTTAAACCTAGAAACCCTCAACCCTGCAGGCTAAACCTAAAATGCCGTGATCACCCCAAGAAATATTCACAGAGTTGACAAGAGTTGACATGCTGGAAATGACGAGTCTGAGAAGATTGGCGAGATTTCGGTTTGAAGTTTCTTCGGAATTTGCGGGCTGTTTTGGTTCTCAGTTTCCATGCTTGGAGATGTGTGGCACCCATGTGTGTATCCGCCGACCCCAGCTTTGAGCGGGGGAGGCGCTAGTGAAGACCCATCCCATAACCCCCACGCCCTCAACCCCCTGGCACCCATGGCTCATAGCCCCATGATCCCAGCTGGCTCCCACCACCCAATGCCCCTTGATGACTTTAAAGGGCCCCAGTGCATGCCCGCCCGCTCCGCCCTCCCCGCTCTCCCCGCCCCTCCGCCCGCTCCGCCCGCTCCATCCCATAACCCCCACGCCCTCAACCCCCTGGCACCCATGGCTCATAGCCCCATGATCCCAGCTGGCTCCCACCACCCACACCTCATGAGTGTTTTAGCATTCTTTTAGGTGCTCCTATCAGATTACTTTAAAGGGCCCCGGTGCATGCCCACCCGCTCCGCCCTCCCCGCTCTCACCCCCCCCCCATGCACCCTTCCCATGTCCCGCATGGCCTACCACCCACACCCCCCCCCCATGCACCCTTCCCATGGCCCCGTGGCCCCATGCCCCTATCAGATGACTTTAAAGGGCCCCAGTGCATGCCCGCCTCCCCCCCCCCCCCCCCCCCCCCCCCCCCCCCCACATGCACCCTTTCATGGCCCCGTGCTCCCTTCCATGGCCCCTCTCAACCCCGGCTCCATGCCCTCGACCCGGCTCCACTCATGGCCCCAGGATCCCAGCCATGTGGGATCATGGAGCCATGAGCCATGGGCGCCAGGGGGTCGAGGGCATGGGGGCCATGCGATGGACATGAAGCCGGAGCGGGCAGTGGGGAGGGCGGAGGCATGCACTGGGGCCCTGGGAGGGCGGGGCGGGCGGGCATGCACTGGGCCCTTTAAAGTCATCTGAGAGGGGCATGGGGCCAAGGGGTCATGCGAAACGTTGAGGTGTGGGTGGTGGGAGCCATGTGGGATCATGGAGCCATGTGTGAGGGGGTCGAGGGCATGGGGGCCATGCGATGGGGCCATGAAAGGGTGCATGGGGGGAGGAGAGCGGGGAGGGCGGAGCGGGCGGGCATGCACTGGGGAGGGGCCCTCCTCCGCCCCCACCCCATGCACCCTTTCATGGCCCCGTGGACCCTATCAGATGACTGTAAAGGGTCCAGTGCATGCCCGCCCGCTCCGCCCTCTCCCCGTCCCATGGCCCCTATGCCCTCGACCCCTGGCACCCATGGCTCATAGCCCCATGACCTTCCATGGCCCCCATGCCCTCTGCCCTCGGCCCCGGCTCCAGCTCATGGCCCCAGGATCCCACATGGCTGCCACCACCCACACACCCCTTCCCCCCATGCACGTTTCCCATGGCCCCGTGGCCCCATGCTCCTATCGGATTGCTTTAAGGCCCCGGTGCATGCCCGCCCGCTCCGCCCTCCCCGCTCTCACCCCCCCGCCATGCACCCTTCCCATGTCCATCGCATGGCCCCCATGCCCTTGACCCTTGCATTCCTGGCTCATGGCTCCATGATCCCACATGGCTCCCACCACCCACACCTCATGGATGCACGTTTCGCATGGCCCCATGGCCCCTGCCCCTATCAGATGACTTTAAAGGGCCCCATTAATGCATGCCCCCCCCCCCCCCCCCCCCCCCCCCCCCCCCCCCCCCCCCCCCCCCCCCCCATGCACACTTCCCATGGCCCCGTGGCCCCATGCGCCTAGAGCCTATCAGATGACTTTAAAGGGCCCCAGTGCATGCCCGCCCGCTCCGCCCTCCCCGCTCTCCCCGCCCCCCGCTCCGCCACCCCCACGCCCTCAACCCCCTGGCACCCATGGCTCATAGCCCCATGATCCCAGCTGGCTCCCACCACCCACACCTCATGAGTGTTTTAGCATTCTTTTAGGTGCTCCTATCAGATTACTTTAAGGGCCCCGGTGCATGCCCGCCCGCCCGCCCTCCCCCTCCCCCCCCCCCCCATGCACCCTTCCCATGTCCGTGGCCCCATGCTCCTATCAGATTAATTTAAAGGGCCCCGGCGCATGCCCGCCCGCTCCGCCCTCCACTCTCACCCGGCCGCTGCATCCCATGGCCCCTATGCCACCCCCTGGCACCCATGGCTCATGGCCCCATGATCCCACATGGCTCCCACCACCCACACCTCATGGGTGTTTTGGCATTTTTTTAGGGGCTCCAGCTCATGGCCCCAGGATCCTTCGCCCTCCCCGCTCTCCTCACTGTGGGCACTCATACGAGAAGCGTACGGGGGTCGCGACGACTTCACCTGCAGCGACCGTAAACTTGTGTCCGCATTTCCATCGATTGTCGATGCGTCCGTCTCGCACGGCTGATGCGACCTTTGCCTTGCACTTTGGGCACTCAGATGAGAAGCGCGCGGTCGCCGACTGGGCGGCGACGACTTTGCCTGCGGCGACCGTAAACTGGTGTCCGCATGTCCGTCGGTTGTTGATGCGTCCGTCTCGCGTGGTTGACTCGACCTTTGTGCCTTTGATGGCATCCGGGAGGGTTTAGGGTTTAGGGTTTAGTGCACCTAAACCCGTACAGCCTAAACCCTTCAAGGCCCATATAATAAAACCTACACCATATGGCCCCGAACCCAACACCATTAGTCCACCCCACGCGCGCAAACCTCGAATTAAACACCAAACCCTTGAAGCTTAAGCCCTACCCCCAAACCTCTAAACCCCTGAACCCTAAACCCCAAACCTAAACACTAAACCCCAAACCCTAAACCCTAAACCCGTGAAACCCTAAGCCAGGCCTTCCATCGCCTCAGTGAGGTGGCGGAGGAGCTGCGCTCGAGCCTCCAGGCACGCTTTGCCGGCCTTTAGGAGCCTTTCTAAGGTCTGCGGATCAGGTTAGGTCCAGGGTCTAGGACCTGCTTGGACGGTTTAGAGTTTAGGATGTGTTGTCTGGGGAAGAATCAGAGTTCCTCCAGTACTTTCGCTGACGCGATTTGGCTAGGTGATCTCTATTTTCCTGCCTTGAAGGTTCATAGGTAGTTATGAGTGGGGTAGCAAGTTGGGGCGAGCAGAAACCCCTGCATCCGTCAACTCTTTGCGCACGTCCCGCATTTTCAACATCCATTCTCCACATACACTCTGCCGCATTCTATCATTCAGCAGGGTTTAGGGGTTTAGGGTTTAGGGAACCCACGAAGGCAGCATTTTAAACCCTGAACCCTAAGCGCTGGACCCTAATCCACAAGGGTATGCCAATGACATATCCACGGATGGCAACGCTGTGCAAGATCGCGTCGATGTTCACGGAGCCGCCTGGCCACAGATTGGGAAACTGGGCTGCGGAGCGTCGAACGGTTGGGACGATGAGCTCAGGGTTTGTAGAGTGGAGGAGGGCGATGCGCAAAAGACCGCTCATACTATCGGGGCAAGTACTTGGACCGTTACTTTGTACCGAAAACCTGCTAGAAATGCCTCCATGTAGGACACCAAGCTTGAGCACGGAGCACTGTGCACAAATGGTATACTGCTGCGGTCTGCTCTTTTGCTGCTGCGCTAAGCCTTCCACGGTTCCGCGTTCCGCCTGTACAAACGCGCACAACGTGGCTTCCACAGCTTCGGTCCAGACTTCCACTGCTGTACATAACTCAGACTCGGCCCTTTGAGTCTGCTGTGCGTGGAGCCTACTTGCCTCTTGAGTATCACAAACAGACAACATCATGCAAATAATCTGGCTTCAGAGTAGATTTTTCAGTCGCATGGCGAGCGAGACAGTAGTACCACAAGTAGTATCCTAATCAGTACTGCTCTGCATCAGCGCTCGAAATGGCCCGGCGATCTCTGCAGGGATATTCGGGTCCACGTTCACGAAGTCGTGTTGGAAAGAACTCAACCAGCATAAAGCACTTGCGTGCTGCGCAGCATCTCTGCATGGCACAATCAAACGGCGCACATAGCGACATCCAGCTTGCTTCGACGCCAAGGCTTGACCGCTGCTGTCTTGATATTCCCCTGCCCAGCCCGCTGAATCCAGCAACTCCTTCGCAGCCCACGTGCCACCCGACAACTCCAGCGACAACTGAGCCGATGATGACGCTGCGGTACCAATACGCAGCATAATGTGGCCACTGAACTCAGGGGATGGGATCTCCTGCAAACTTCTCGGGAGGCCTGCCCCGCGGACTTCAAACGACCACGCCGCCTGCGCTGTTGCTCGGAAACGAGACAGATCCACCTCCGCGGGGACACTCAGCCGAACCTGCCACAGCGACATAAAGCAGCATGTAACCGTCAGAGAACCAGCTCATGGGCTTGCATGTGCTAACATGGCGGTAAGACTCGTAAAGATTTACTTGCACTGCATAAGCACGCATACCGCTAGGGCTATACCGCAGCCGAATAGCAGGCGACTCGGGCACCGCGCGGAACTCAGCCAGACCGCGACGATGCGTGATGTACCCGTCCAGCAGGCTTAGCAGTGCCAGCAAGTTCTCTTGATCTCCACCAGCATAACCGCAGACAGCATACGGAGGCTTGCTGCTTTGCCGAACCAAGAGCTGCACGTCTTCCTTGATGCATACAAGTCACATGTGCTTCCTTATTGCCCTATCCCTGCTCGCCCTACCAGCACACCTGAGTGCAGCGAAGCTGCGAGCGCTGCAGTACTGCTACCGAACTCCGCATAGCCTTCCGGACATTGCGCTAGCCAGCATGTCATGTTGTCGGAGATCTTGAAGGTCAGAGACGGTCTGGCGGTGTGCTGCCACACAACAGCCCAGACGGGTACATCCTCCCAGCCAGCACACACGTTGACGCCAGATCTGCTGTACAGAAAGATTTCTGCATGATTGTCACCGCCGCTCTGTGTCGTCTGCACCTTCTGGCGCTTCCGCGGAGAACACACTGCGGACCGCTGCGACGACGCCATGCCCTTCTTCTGTCCATCATCGATCTGCAACGGTGCGCTCGCCAGCACTGGTGCCATGCCTGTCATCTTTCCAGCATCGGGAGTGGCCGAATCTTCTGTCTCTTTAAGGTTGAGTGTTTATTCAGGGTTGAGGTTTCGAAGACCATACACATACGTTCAATAGTCTCCATACATGTACAATGTAGCACATATACATAGTAGATATGCATACGTAACCTCCACCCTGACACTGAAAAATCTTCACTAGCGGACATTGCCTCGCTGCGAATGCTAGCGGGGCCCCGAGCCCACGGACCCAGCATTTACAGCGAGGCAATGACGACCAGTGCCCTGAATATCAAAAAAACCCTGAACTACCGCAACCCCCCCCATGTTGAGGGTTTCGGGTTTACGGTTTACGGTTTAGGGTTTGGTTTCCGGTTTCGGGTTTCGGGTTGCGGGTTTCGGGTTTGGGGTTTGGGGTTTAGGGTTTAGAGTTGGGGGTCGGCGGCACTGGCGGTAGCCATTAAATATATATATATATATGCATGTATGCATGTATGCATGTATGTATGTATGTATGTACGTCTATAGAAATAAACATATATACGCATATATATATATATATATGCACACTGACAATAACAAGAATTGTAGCAAAACGCACAATAAAGCAACGACACCATAGATGCATGTGTTAAACTTCGTGTGTATATTTACACGATTAAAAGAACTATAAGTATATCGCACATGCTGGAATTTTCTGATATGTTTCTGCACATACATATCGACCCAAGCCTGCCTCCCTGCTACAAAGCTGACATATCGGGTTACCAAGCGTAAGGCTTGGGTGAGACCCCAAACCTCCCAAACTCTGGGGCTATGGTTTAGGGGTCAAACCCTAAACCCTAAACCCTGAACTCTATGACCGAATTTAAATGTATTACGTAGAAACCATTGTCTGAATGGGTCAGCATGAATGCTGCAGAAATAAGACCTGCCCGGTGTCAAGTGGCGTTTCATGGCTGCCCAAAAAAGAATTGGTGATTTCAGAGCGGCCCTGCTCAACTTTCAGAGAGCACAAATTCTTCAAGACAAATTTAGACAGCATATCATTCAACCACAGTGGAGTATCTGCTTCACCTGCTTTCATTGCCAAAACGGAATCCATTACACCACCGACCCGCGCAATCTGCACTTCTCCTGTTCATCGGCGGCAGATCTTTCAGATGCCACCCTCCAGCTGTGGCTTGACTAGTATCATTCGATGAGTCTACAAGTACAAAGCATGCTTGACAGACTATAATTTCCGATATTCGTGCACCAGTCGCTAATGTTTCACTTTTCGCCGAACCGATTTCATCAGTCCGCATGCCCTGAACCCTGAACACCCCTAAAACCCTGAACCTTAAACTCCAAACCCTAAACTCTAAACACCCCTAGACTGGAAACCGCGACAGAGGGTTCTCTCCTCCGTCCGCCCCACTTGCTCAAGCTTGTCGTCCAGCCAGACCAGCTCCTGGGGGTTAAAAGGGCTTTGGGTCTTCAGGGTTTGGGGGTTTGGGGGTTTGGGGGTTTGGGGGTTTGGGGGTTTGGGAGGGTTTAGGGTTTAGGGTTTAGGGCTAGGGTGGTTTTGGCATTAAGGATTTTGGGTGCTCGAGGGTGTGGGCTTCACCCCACCTGCAAAAATTGCAAGAAGCAACCTCGAGCGTGCTTTCCCCGACGCTGAGGCCTTTGTGAAAAACGTCTGCTCCTGCCGCTTCTCCTTGTAGGACAGGCCGATGCGCTTGTTCATCACCTCAGGGCTATACATCATTGCTTAAACATCGGCCCATATCTACATTATTAAGCATTACCTATACAAATTACGGGCCCATACTTCAGAACCTTTTAGAGGAGGTTAGGGAACATATTAAGGGCCCATGAAACCATCCTATAGAATCCTGACTGGATTGACCCCCTCTGTCATGGTTAGGTCCTACCCACAAACGAAACTCAGCGCTGGCGAGGAGCACAGCGCCAGTCCTTGACCGAGTTGCCTCTGGCTCAGGACTTGGGGGTACTGTAGGGGCCTTAATCGTTAGAAGAAGCCATTGGGGAGGTCAATATAACGTACTTGGAGGTTCATGGTACTTAGCAACCAATAATAACTGTATGTATAACCCACTTACAAGCCCCTCAAGTGCCCCAATATGGTGAGAAGTATAGTTCTAAGTACAGTTGTAATTGGCTAATAAGTACCATGAAAGGCTAAGCCCTAAACCCAAACCCTAAACTCCTAAACCCGACTAAAACTTAACATAAGAGCGAATCCCTAAACAGCGGATTTTCTCACCCCCCCCCCCACTGACCCCTTCTCCCCCTTTGTGAGGGATCCTTGGCTTTAAAACTTACCTCAAAACTGCCCAAGATACTGGGATCCCAGGCTAGGGGATTATTTGAGTAGCAACAGGACATGTACCCTTTCTCCTGGAAAGCTTTGTTGGTTGTTGAAGTGTGCACCCCAACCCAAAAAATGCGCAAATCGTATGACCTCCATGTGCTGCCATAGGGCACAGGTTGAGACGAAAGCCCCCATGCCTAGAACACCTGCCCAAAGGGAGTTGGGCAATGTTGGGGCGAATTCTCGAAGGTCGAGGCTAAGCGGTCTCTAGGGTTAATGCGTCCCTAAAAGCCTAAACTGTACACCTCAACAATCATCCCGGATGGCTCGTGCGAGGCGGGGGTGCCTCTTTTCCCGCCGGCCAGCAGCTCCCTGCAGTAACGCAGCAGCTCCTGCAAAGCCACGAGCTGCCCCACAGCTTTACCCGTACCTACACCCTGGAACCTCGGAAACCCTCCAGACAAGACTTAACCAAAACCCTACAAGCCCTCTAAAAGGATTGGGGTTTGACGTTGAGGCCCTCGCGGATTGACTGGGGTCGTAGACTTCTTGGCGCGCCAAGGGGGTACAGGGTTTCGGGCTTCCATGGGTGGAATGCATACGGGGGTTTGCGATCTTCGGGGACCTTTTTGGGGTCCTTTCTATAAGGGGATCCTACTATTTGGGTTATATATATATATTTATTTATGGGGATCCCAGTAGTTGGGGTCCATATTCCCTTTTATGAGGCTTTAGACTTTTAAGGGTCTAAACGATGGTCAATGCCCTACGTCAGACAGGGCCAAGCCAACGGAGAGTTCCAACTCTGATCTTTTGGAGCCCAAGAACCAGTTTAACCAGGTAGGGCTTAGGGTTCAGGGTTTGGGATTTAGGGTTTAGGGTAGGTCTCTAATCACAAAGCTGGCCAAAAAATACAGTACATGAAGGCCGCAGCTTGAAGTGAAAACACAGATACTGCTATCGTTGTTTCTACTGGCAGCTGTGACAATTCCGACTCGAGCCCCAGACCAAGCTAGCCTCAGAGATCCTTTGCACTTGCGCCCCCCAAACTCTACTCCCTGTTTGAGGATCAAAATATCCATCCCTCCCCTTAGTCAGGTTCTGAAGAGTGCCCCCCCCCCCCTTGTCGACTGTGAACCCTTCATAAATCGTATCAGCCAATGGGGCGTAAGCACTAAATCTTTTGAGCCCCACCAGGCCCGAAACACTACTAAACCCTAAACCCTAAACCCTAACCCTAAACCCTAAACCCTAAACCCCAAACCCTAAACCCTAAACCCTACTAACCGACCTGTACTTTTGTCCTGCTCCCATTCGGTAGCAACGTCCCTCTCTACCCCAGTGACTGCTCACTGCTCGCACGGCGCCAGCCCAACTCCACTTATCAGGCAATCGACGCCCAGCCTTCCGGCCCAACACAAACCTGCAAAACCAAAAACCAAAGCCTGAACTCTATACTCCATCCACCTCCACAGCAAGTCAAAAAGCCTACGGGGGCCACGACCCAACGCCTAAACCCGAAGTAGGCTCGAAGCCCGGTCTGTAACCCCATGTCGCCTCGCCCGGCTCACAGCAAAGATCAAAGCCCTTTGCGGCGGCAACGCCCGCAAGGAGGTCGCCTAGGCTTCGAGAATTCATTTGGAGTTGAACTGGGGTTGGGATGTTCCCCCCTATACCAACAGTCCTAGGGATGCTAGTACACTCGATGACAATCCCAATTAAGGACTGTTAGTAGGGGGAACATCCCAAGTCTAGGGCGTATCATCAAGGCTGGGTTTATATGCGATTTAGTCCTGAGTGAGTAAGTAGGATTGAAAGTTTCAGAGGGTTGCAGACGAGTGTAGGCTTCACATCCGGTTGCTTACAGTGTCTTGGGTCATGTTTGTGGCATTCAGGCTTTATGGGCACCTAAACCCACAAGGACCCACGAAAACCCCTAAACCCCAAATCCCAATTTTTCCCACAACCCTACACCCCAAAAACCTAAGCCCTAAGCCCAACAAAAACTCCAAGAACCGCACAGCAAAAAAGCAAATAAAAAAAATCCTCCAACAGGAAGGCCCCGCGAGCTGCATGGGCGGTGAGCTCTGGGTTCGTGGGTGGAGTTCTGTGAAGTGCACCCGCCGAGTAACTCTGTGCCTTCAACAAAATATACAGTAGATGGGGTCAGAGCTTGAAGGGCTTTAAGGCTTTTGGTTTTGGGATTTAGCGGTGCCCAAGAATGAAAGCGCATATGTGTTTTTAACGGATGCATAGCCAGGCAGGCTCTACAAATATACGTGTGTAAATAGTTTATTCTTTTTTCACTTCCTCACCACAGTCTACATGAACTCCAAGCCCGGCGACGCTCAACCCGCTGCAGGAGCGTGTCGAACGCTGGCTCGGGTAGCCCTGCTTCATGCACTTTGGTTTAGTTGAGGTTTAACGTTAGGGCTTCGAGTTTGTGGGTTAGATTCTAAGGCTTAGTCGGTTTACCTAGGGACTATTAGGGACGTGTCAACCTAAACCCTTATCCAGAACCGAAACCCACAGACAGTTTGGACGTCGTTGGAGGGGTATAACCCCTCGGAAATCAACAAGCGAGCCTCTACAACCCCTCAACCCTAAACCCTAGAAAGCAGTTGCAATACGACTCGGCAATCAGACAGAGAGCCCTAAGCAATGCCCAAGGCTCTCCGCGGGTTTGGTGGTCATAAGGCTGAGGTTTCGTCCAGATCTTGCAGTTGAGTCACATATTTTAGGGCTTCAGGTTTAGGCGGTTTAGGGATTAAGGCTTATAAGGTCCAGGGATTGAAGTTGGACTTAGGAGTTGATACTTACTAGGGGTCCATTATTTTCGCAAACCCCCACATGACCCTGGCTGGAGCATGATCAACATGTAACAAGCAAACGCTCTTGGGACGAAGGAACAACATACACGACACCCGAAGGGGAAACGTGATGTCCTACCCAGCTTAGACTATTCTGGTGGGTTGGCTTTTGTCATGGACCCTAAACCCTGAACCCTAAACCCTGAACCCCTAAACGGGGAGAACACTTGTAGACACCTCTGACTGCAAAGTGCCCTAGCCCATGCTCGACTGGTCATGTCTGCGCGGGTCAACTTTGTTGCACCTGTCACTCTAGGCCCTTTTCGTTTAGGGTTTAGGCTTTAGGGTTAAGGGCAAGCCGTACAGTAAGCTCCCAAAAGTTGGAACATCATCCAGACCCAAAAGTAGCCTAGGAATAAGACAGGTACCCTTTCTGGTTTCAAGGGACCCCGAGCTCTAAAACAAGGAATAAGGGCCTACGCTGGGTCCTAGTCAGTATCCTCCTACCCGTCCTACCCCAAGAGGGTCACCAATCCCAGCACTCGCCGTCCTTAAACCATGTATACACCTAAACCCTACGCCAGCCTGCGTCATGCTGTGCCCCAGAAGCCATGGCATCGAGCCCGACTTCACGAAGTGTTTGGGCGTAGGCTGCGGAGGATCTGGGGCTTAGGGTTTGGGTTTAGGGTTTTGTGAGTTTAGGGTTTAGGGTTTGTCTTTAGGGCTTAGGGCATTTAGGGCTGAGGGCGCTTAGGGTTGAGGGGGGCTTCGGGTTTGGCGTCTGGGGTTTGGGATTTCAGGGTTTAGGGCTGGACGTTCCTGGCTTGGGGGCTGAGTTTGGGAATTCGTGCTTCAGCCTGTGAGTAGGCGTTTTAGAGTGGCACGCTTTGGAGGCAAGCTGAGCTTCGGCTGTTTTGGGGTCTTAGAAGGCTTATAGGGCTTGAGGTTGAGGGTTTAGGGCCCATAGGTTTCGGGTTTAGGGTTTAGGGTTTGGAGTTTAGGGTTTAGGAACTAAGTCATGGCTGTTCCATGCCATACACCGTCTCGACCTGAAAGCCTTTCAGCTGTAGGCGAGAAGGCACTTTGAGCAAGTGTCGGGTTCATGGGGATCCGCCACCCTGCACTCCACTTAGACCCCTGCCCTAAACCCTAAACCCTAAACCCTAAACCCTAAACCCTAAACCCTAAACCCTAAACCCTAAACCCTAAACCCTAAACCCTAAACCCTAAACCCTAAACCCTAAACCCTGAACCCCAAAGGAAGTCCCCAAGCCGACGCTCCGACAAAGCCCTACAGAATCGGTTGTTTCTCCCCCTCCCCCACCCCAACCCCAACAAACCACGGTTTGGTTTAGGGTTTAGGGTTTAGGGTTTAGGGTTTAGGGTTTAGGGTTTAGGGTTTAGGGTTTAGGGTTTAGGGTTTAGGGTTTAGGGTTTAGGGTTTAGGGTTTAGGGTTTAGGGTTTAGGGTTTAGGGTTTAGGGTTTAGGGTTTAGGGTTTAGGGTTTAGGGTTTAGGGTTACGTCTAGGGTTTAGAGTTCAGGGCTTAGGCTTTTGAGGTTGAGTTTGGCCGTCTCGGGCGAATCGTGATGCTCCGAGCTCC